AAAATTTTGAACCTTTTTTTATATTCTGCGATTTTCCAGCGATCAATGTTTATAATTGCAAAATGAATAATCTTTTCTTTTTTTCTTTAATCAATTTCTAATCAATATACCAATGATAATTAACTGCTAATCAATATACCAGTGATAATTGTGATTTATATGAAATTACTGCTACATTCTCTTCATTGTCATATTTAAATTGTAGCATTATTATGTCCTTCAAATCAAATTTATAATATCTGCAGAATGCTTCTAAATCATCTCTGTCAGATGTCAATAATTGGTATTTATTACAGGTGGATAATACACATTTACCTATCAAATTTTCACTTACAAAAATTGAAATTCATTTATTTGCCTTCATCTTATTAAATATCCATTATATTAAACAAAAAATTTGCATTTAAAAAATGATCAATTTCAACACTAATATAATATTAAATTACATTACCAAAGAAAAATCTTTTTTTTTTATTTTTTCCAACTAATTTTAACTCATTTATTTAATAAATAATTGATAATAAACTTCAATAATAAAAATCATTTTTTGATTTTCAAAAAAAAAAAAAAGAATTTCTGAATTTAGCAAATTAGAAAAATATTTTTGTGAATGAATTGAATTATTTTATTGATTTAATTACTTATTATAGTGATCATTGCATAAGTTAAATAACAGAAAAATAAAAATTTGAAATAAAAAAAGAAAAAACCCAAAAAAAAAGATTTTTCTTTTTCCACTTCTCACTAGTTTATATTTTTATCTTTTATAATTAAAATACGAAAAATTTAAAGGATTAACTGCAGTACCAGGACCTGAAATTAATTACAATATCAAAACCTAAAATTAATTACGGTAGAAAGATTTGAGGTTGTATTACTTGTGTTGATAAGTATTTTTTATATGTGTATGTATGTTTGTGTATGTATGCATGTGTGTGTGTATGTTTGTATGTATGTGTGTGTGTGTATGTTTGTATGTATGTATGTGTATGTTTGTATGTATGTATGTGTGTGTTTGTATGTATGTATGTGTATGTTTGTATGTATGTGTGTGTATGTTTGTATGTATGTATGTGTGTGTTTGTATGTATGTGTGTGTATGTTTGTATGTATGTATGTGTGTGTTTGTATGTATGTGTGTGTATGTTTGTATGTATGTATGTGTGTGTTTGTGTGTGTTCGTATTGTACATGGCATATAATTAAATCAATGTCTAATGATCATTTTAGAAGAGATTGGAAAAAAAAGAAGAAATAAGGGACAAGAAAGTGACAGAGAAAAAGAAAGGAAGAGAGAGAGAGAGAGAAGTCGAAAAATTGAATTTACTCTTTTCGTTCCTTTCAACAATTACTGTCCACTTTTAATGGCCTAAAGTAAAAAAAAAATGAAGTATATGTTGTTTGTTATTTTATTTTTATAGAATAAAAGAAATGAAAAAATGGTTAGTTTGTTGATAAATCATTTACGGAATTGGAAATGATTAATCCGGTATGACTAGTCCGGTTTCTTTCTGATTCATTAAAATTTTGTGCATAAACTAACAGACACAATTATGAAGTAATTTATCTTTAATTTTTTACTTTTATTCATTTTTTTTTTCTTTTAAAGTAAAAATGAGTTTAGTTTAGAATTTAAAAAACTTTTTCAAAAAATATATATGAAATGTGAATTCTTTCAATTTTGTTCCTTTTCAAGTAATAACTCTATTTCTGCTTCTATAAATGACTTTAAAAATGATTAACTGAACTTTTTTTTTTCTTTTTTCAAAATTAACTTTCTTCTTTCTAAAATTTTCTTTTCAAATGTCTATTCTGCTCTCTCTCTCTCTCTCTTTCTCTCTCTCTCTTTCTCTCTCTTTTCCATCAAAGGACATATTTTTTTTTCAAACGTTTATATTTTTTGAAAAATTATTGCTGCAAAATTGTGTAAAGAAATAATAAAACTGAAAAAGAGCAACAATAAAACATTCTAATCGATTTATTTGTTATTGATTAATCAATCAATCAATCAATGAATCAATCAATATAATTAATTCTTCATTTTTCACTGATAAACTTTTCGTTACATTGAATTAACTATACAAAATGACAGATAAAAAAAGAAAAAAAAAACCCATAAATAAGTTAATTAATTATTTAGTATTGCATAGTTAATGCAATAAAATAAATTTTTTTTTTTAAATTATCTTTTTTTCTTCTTAAAAGAAAATTTTCTTATAGTTTAAAAGATTTAATTTTATAAAAACGATTGATCCTTTCTTTCCTTTTTCTTTTTTTTTTTCATTGATTATAAATTATTTGAAGTAAATAAATTTTTAGAAAGAAACGAACATTCAAAAGAAAAAAAAAAAATTTTTTTTTCAATGACATTTTGTCAGTTCAAAATTTTCATTCAATATTATAAGTGTGAAATGAGCGTTGAAGCGCAAAATAATAGATATTAACTTTTTGAGTGAAAGATGCGACAACGACGACTTTCTTTTTTTTTTTTTTTTTATTCCCACAAAATGCATTCCTCTTTTCAATCCTTCTTTTATGGGATAATATGACACTTTCAATGATGCTATGATGATGGACTGTCAAAGTCGTACAATTCATTTGACGTGAAAAGCATTCATCAAAGTGTAAACCATTAACTTTTATTTTAGATATAAATATAATGAAAACTTTTACATCTATCATATTTTGTTTGATAAATTAACAGCTAAAAACTTTAATTTATTTTTTTATAATTTACCTATAAAAATTTTTATTTTTATTAAACAATTAACTGATTCTTGTCTTTTCTTTTTTAATTGTCTAAGATGAATTAATGGAATATTTATGTAAAAATAACTGAATAGTTTTAAAATCTATAAATTTAGTTAAAGTTTCAAAATTGCAAACTTTCATAACTTTTTTATATATACATATATAATTAATTCTGTTACGTTGAAAAATTTTGTAACTGATAATTAATTCCAAATAGAATGAAACTATTTCTAAAATTAATTATGAGAATTAACTTTTCTCATAATTTCATCTCAATTTCATCTAAAAAATTTACATTATATTTTGAAGCTTTTTTTTTTTTTGGTATATTTCAAAAAATCAAAAATTTTTTGTGATTTTATATTTCTATAAAAATCATAAAGAATATTATGATGAATGAATGTTTACTGATAGATCGGAATAAATTCCGGATAATGTTTCATTTAAAAAGGAAAGGCAAGATACTTTCTGTTTATTCTCTATCAAATTTTAGCTTAATAAAAATCAAAAAAAAAAAAAGAAAAAAAGAAAGATTTAATGATTGATGAAAATTAGAAATAATGTACGATCCCTAAATTATTCGAAATGTTTAGAGGGTGTCTAATTTGTGTGATCTTTTCGTGGCTAATCTTCATCTTATAAGCAACATTTGTCACCCCTGACCATTTTCTGATGAGCATAGTAAAGTAATTAGAAACTAAGGTCAGCTGTTACCTTTACAGAAATAAATGCAACTGATGTCTATTCGGCATCTACTTTTGATGATAGTATATGAGGAGGAGGTAGTAATACTATTATCAGAGAGATAAGAGATTACTACTAACTTGTAGTAATAGCTCCTTCTTTTTTTTTTTCAATTGTTTCATATATCAAATAGCTAAAATGAATTAATTTCAAAAAAAAAAGAATACTGAAATGACTAATTTTAAATTATTAAAAAAAGAAAAAAAAAATCAATAATAAGCATTGATATTATAATACAATAAATAAGAGAGGAAAATTTTTACAGTAAATATTCCTATCTCTATATTTTATAATAAATTTTTCTATTTTTTATCATTTCCATTTCTTTTTTTATTTTTTCCTGAAAGCATTAGAAAAAAACAAAAAAAAAATATTAAAAAATTGGAAATTAAAAAAAGAAAAAAGGTTCTTTCAAGTTTTTACTCATACAATTTATGTATGTAATAAAGAAAACAAGTAAACAAGTTTTTACTATTTACTCTTTCAACTTTTCATATACATATATATATGTAATTAAATTATTGATTATTAGAGTAAAAGTAAGAAATATAATCTGCTAGAACAAATAAACGAAATAGTAGAAAAAAAAAGAAAAATAAACAAAAATGGAAATAAGAATGAAATAAGAGAAAAGAAAAGAAAAAAGAAAAAATGAAAACGAAATCATAAATCAAAAATTAAACTTCTCATTTGCTGTATATCAATTCATTTTATTTTTATCATTTTTTTTTTTGTATATATAATAATTTGAAAAAATAAATATCAAATGTATCGTATTTCATTTATGTTATATTTCTAATTATATATTATAATTTTAAATATTTTAAGGATAAAATACCTTCCTAAAATTGATAAATAGGAAATTATAAAATATATGGTGTGAAGTAATTCATTATGAAATATTTAAATTAATTTGAACATATTATTTTAGAAAAAAAAATCTTTTTTTTTTTCTTTAAGAATTTTGATTTGCTTTCATTTATTACTATTATTGTAATAATTGAAATATAATGATTTGTTGATTTTCAACTTTTTTATCAATCGGATAAGAAAAATTAATTTAAAAAAACAGACTAAATGCTATTTACAGTTATAAGATCGTTGATTTTTTTTTTTAAATTTGACTTTTATGTTAAATTTTGCTATTATTGCTAATATCAGATAGAATTACATTGCGCTTCAAAATTGCAATTGCATATGTCACTTTTACATTTTATTGAAAATTTCTTTTATCAGTGTTTTTTCAAATATTTCTCTTTCTTTCCTTCTTCTTTTTTTTTTCCTTCGTTTTTTAAAAAGAGAAGAAGAAAAAATTATTTTTTTTTTATATAAGTTTAAGAAATAAACTTTGAAATTTAAAATAAAATTTTCTCTTCTGCTGTCATTTTAATTGCATTTACATTGTAACAATAATTAATTGATTCAATGTTGGTAAAAATTTATTACAATTATGAATTAATTATTTCAACTTTACTTTATTTTTTTATTTTTTTTTTTTTTTTACAGATGGAAAAACAAAGATTTGTTGGATTTGAAAATGTGAAAGAGACAGAAGAGCAGAAAGGTCAGTTAATAGGACAATCTCAGAATTCCACAACAGCAGTACCACAACAGATTCTCGGGTCATCATCATCATCATCAACATCATCATCATCATCATCATCATCGATAAAACCGTCAACAACAACGACAATAGCAACTTCAAATGAACAGAAAGCAGTAAATATATCAGTGGATGGAAGAGGTGGAGCTCGAGATATGGTCCGAGTACGACAACGCCCTCATATACCACCGAAACCACAGATGGACGCCGTCAGATACAGCATGGCGAATGTACAAGGTCAGTTTTTTTTTCCCTCTTCTCTTTCTTTTCTCTCTCTCTCTCTCTCTCTCTCTCTCTCTTTGTCTTGAATATATTTCAGTGTAGGTACAGTTTATTAGTGAGAAAAAATGAATGAAAGAAAGAAAAGGAACGTTTAAAATGAGTTTGACAATGTCAATGTCAATCAAGTATTGCTTTTACTCGTTAATTAGGATGTAATTGATCTTTTTTTAAAATTTAATTTAGTATTTTTTCATTCTTCAAAAAATATTTAAGCAAGAAATGAAAAATGAATAGATTAATAATTTGATAAATTTGAAATATTAAAGTAATAATTTTAAATCACTAAATGAATTGCTTTTTTTTTCTTTTTCTCATAACTTTTAAATAGAAAAAAAAAACATTTATTTGTTATTAAAATTATTGGTTAAAAGAAAAAAAAAATTTGATAAAGAAATTAGTTATTAATACAAAAATTATGAATTCAATTTTTTTTATTTTAAAGCTAACAAAAATATGAAGAATGTCACCAAAATGAATTTCATGTCATTAAGTAGGTACATAATAATTGGATTGTTATGTAATATATTAGCAATTTCACAGATCATACAATCAAGAATGATTCATTGAGTCTCGACTTATTCCCAGAAATTCAAACTTGATTCAGTTAAAGAGATTACTATGCTCTCTTCTTACTTATTTCTAGTTTACACTATAATATCACTTTATTGAATTTTTCCAAAATATTAGAATTCAGACTTAAATTGCATCTCTTATGGGAATTTATAATCACTGAATATTTTCGCTTTCCAATTTAATTCCTAATTTTGCTTTTTATTTGACAAAAAATAGTTGAAAAAATTATTTTCATTCTATCATTATTATTATCATAAAATTTTCATACAAAATTTATTTTCAATTTTTTTATTTCTATTTTGAATGAGATAAACTTTTCGAACAGTTTTCCGAAAAATATGCGCAAACACTTGAAATTTATTCAGAAAATGTTTAGTGCATTTTCTCAAATTAACAATTTTTTTACAACAATATGCGCAAATGTGATCAGAACAATATGCGCAAATCATTTATAACATATTGAATAAGTTACTGATCAACTAATAGCATTAGAATGAGTTGAATTGGCTCAAAAAAAAAGAGATTCAAAATATAATCATATCTTCTGATCTGATCGTTGTATGAAATTCAAAAAAGTATTCAGTGATATGTAAAGTTTTATTAATTTCCTATTCTTTTTGACAAAGTGATATTTTCTTTGAAATATTGACAAAATTTCATTTAGCTAAATGAAATTTGAATAAATATTTAACAAAAATTAAAATAAAATTTCAGAAAGTTGTGACTGGGAATTGGATACTTTATTGGGTGAATTATCAGCATTGGAACAACAACTTACAGTTGGTGGTGATCAGGCTCTTCTTGGCCTTCCAACTCTTCCCACTTCTGTTTCTCGAGAAAGTAGTCTCAATCAAAGTAAAAGAAATAGCACTCTTTTAACTTCTGTTATGCAACATAATGATACAAAAAGGTTAGTAATTTTATCAATGTTTCAATTTTTTTAATTTATTTATAAATTTTGTTTGGTTTTTTTTTTTTTCTTTTTCTTTCTAAAATTTTTGCTTTTTTTCTCCGAAAAACTTTCAATACTTCGCTTAAAATATTGAAAATAATTTCAATGAAAGTGTAAATGATATTATCATTTAGTACAATTTTTAATTAATGTGAAAATTTTTTTTGTTAAAAAATAGATCGAAAAGTATTTTAATGGATTAATTAATTCCTTTTTTCTTATAATGCATAAGTTCTCACCATTTTCTTTTTTTTTTTTTTATACTTTAGTGAAGTAAATTTTCCCAGAATTTGAAATTACTTCTTATTCAATATAATTTCTTATCTTTTTATCACTTTTTTTTTCTCTCAATGATATATTTTAATTGAAAAATTCACCGGCTGTAATTAATAATAATAATAATAATAATAATAATAATAATAATAATAATAATAATAATAATAATAATAATAATAATAATAATAACAATAATAATAATAGTAAATAATGATAATAATAATAATAATAGTAAATAATGATAATAATAATAATAATAGTAAATAATGATAATAATAATAATAATAGTAAATAATGATAATAATAATAATAATAGTAAATAATGATAATAATAATAATAATAGTAAATAATGATAATAATTATTACAGAAATTAGCAGCAGATGTTTTCCTCTTGCGCAAAGTAAAGAAAACTAATCAAAGCTGTTCATCTGATTCCTTATGCTAGCTAAAAATCAATTTATTAGCCTACAATCTCTTTTGCTGGCCTAATTACTACAAATTAGATTTACAGTATTTCTCTTCTTGAACATTAGCAGCAAATAGAGTTAAAATGGATTAACTTTTCTAACAAAATATTATTTTATTATCTATGATAACAAATTCAATGATATTTTGTTTTAATTACCTAAAATAAAATTTCCATTTTTTCTTTTCAAATATCTTTTTGATATATTTTTTCAAATATATTTTTGCAATGTTATTAACAATTTCAAATTGTTTAATTATTTCTAATCATTCTAATTGATTTTAACAATATAAAATTTAAAAGTAAAAAAAAAAAAAATCTGAAGAATAGTACAATGAGAGAAGATTTGGAATGATTTTTGTTTGCATAATTGCATGATATGCTTTTTTAGCATTTCAATTCTAATAAATAAAAAAAAAAAAAGAAATAATAATATGGAAATTTTATTTGATGAAATCAAATGTTTTATAAAATATTTTCGCTAAAAAAAAATATTTTATTTCTTAAAAAAGAAAATAGTATATTATAAATTTGTGATTTTTTTTTTCTTTTTCTGCTCATCAATCATTTTCATAAATGATTACTGAAATGGAAATAAGAAAACGAACACCAAAATTTATCAGAGAGAGAGGGAGAGAGAGAGAAGAGAGAGAGAGAGAATAATTAAGGGAATGTATAATCATTGTTAAATTGGATATATTAGCATATTAATCTTATTCGAAAAAATATTAGTAATATACCTGTTGCTGTGTTATTTTTAATATCAGAATGAAAAATTTTTAATTTCAATTTAAAATTTTAATTCAGTAGGACATAGGGAAAAGAAATTCAAATATTGTCATTGAGAAATTTAAGTATTATCATATATTAAAATATCTGAAAACTTATTATAAACATTTGTAACTAAAAAAAAAAAGAATGTATGAATGGATTAGTATTAATTACCTGTGAAATTACCTTTTCATCATAATAATTAAAAAATTGTCATGCTGAATTCATCTTTGAAGGTTAACCTATATTTATTTCATTTTTATTCTTTGCAGAATTGGTCATCAATCGAATGCGCAACATTCATTCTCCTATCATGATAATTTTATGCACAGCTCAGGTACTATCGGAGCTGTGATGTCAACCGATTGTCCAAGTCCTGATCGTGATTCCGCTTTTGGTGACTCATCCAGTACCGAATCTCGAAACAATAATCGAAATTGCAGAAATTCAGCTATCTCGTGTTCTGATAGCTGTCGTGGCTCACTTAATACGCCAAGTCCAACTCAACAGGTTCAATTATTTTATTTTATTTTTTGATTTCAGTTTATTTAGTTATTAGCTTTCTACATTTTGCTTCCTTTTTTTTACATTTATTCGTTTCTCTTTACAAAAAATACAACTGAAATATCGAAAGATTGTAAAATAGAATCGAAGTGATATTTGAATAAATGATTCTTGAAAGAAATGAACTTTCTTGATTAAGAAAAAAAAAAACAAAAAATCAAATCAATATTTTTCAAATTCTCCATTCTACCCTTTATAACTCATTCAATTTCAAATTTTGTATTATATATAATCACATGCGGTATTTTACAATAGTTTCCGTAATTTTACAACTTTTTTCTCTCTCTTCCATCTCCGATTTTTAGCTACGCAAATAGTAATTTTCTGCACACATATAAAAAAGAAAACACTAATAAAGCACAGATGAGATGACCTTCAGGTAATGAAATTTTTTTTTTTATCGATGTAAAAGTGATATGTGATTATGACAGGTCATTCGATGTTTTGTGACAGGTCATCCGATGTTTTGTTATGATTTCAATGACGTGTTTATTGTGTTGAAGGATATACCTTTTAACCTGAATATTACCTGAATTTGTGAACTGATAATATTTCTTTATTATTTCTTTTTTTTTTTTGTTTTGATAATTTCACATATATAATATATCCATCCATTAGATTTTTATCTTTTAAATCTAGATAATTTTTTTTTTTAAGATAATTTTCTTTAAATTTCTTATTGCTTTTTGAATTTGAATCAGATTTCTTAATTCCGCTCAATATATCGATTGCTTTTCTAACATAAATTCATAATTTAAAACATATAAGCATGTAATTTATTTTATAATATTCAAAGTTATTTTTCACTTCAGATAGTTATAAGAAGGAGAAGAAGAAGCATTTATTTAGTTTTAATAATAGCTTTATTCATTTATAATCTAATTTGATTATAATTTAAATTGATAAATAATCTAAGAATGAAATGATCTGATAAATGTTATCATCAACTGATCTGACATATTCATCAGTGTTGAAAACATATGCCATAACAAATGGATGAATAATCATATTAATGCATCAATGAATTAATTATTTTCAAAATGTTAATAAACAGATAATAATATTATGCAAATTTTTTTTTCTCTTTTTTGTATACAATTAAAAGTATTAATAGTTTCTGAATTGTTAAACTGGAAGAAAGATGAAAGAAAAGCAAAAAAAAAAGAAAGAAAGAAAGGAAGGAAAAAAAAAAATGAATCATCGATACTTATTCTAAAGTGTACAAAAATTTATTCAACTATTTTCATTATCAATTCGGTTCTTCTCTCTAACAAAGAATTTTGCAAAAAAAAAAAAGAGAGGGAATTTTTCTCCTTGTTTACTCTTTCAACTGCTATAAACATTCTTCTTAACCGTTATACAACAAATGCTTAAAAATTTTCTTGTGCAAAAGTACTTGCAATTATTTCTTATTGTCCCATTTTTTTTTTTTAAGTTATCATTTTTAAACTTTATTAAATTTTACTAAAAATGACCCTTTTATATTCATTTCAGTTATTCATTATTAACTATTCATTTCATCCTAATATCTTTACTAACGAACAAATAAAATTCTTAAATTACATTATAAATTCTTTAGCAAATAATACCAGATAAGAAAGATGATATTTAAAATATAATAACTATTATTTATCAATTATTTTCATTTTTATTTATAATTTCTAAATATCTTACATTATAATTTTGCATATTTCAATAATTTCAAGAGACAAAAAAAAAAATAATTTCTAAAGAGAAAAAGTTTTTAAAATTTTAAAAGTTATTTATAGATTAGAAGAGATAAAAATACGAAACAATCAATAATGGAACGATTTGAATTATTTAATGATTATTATTTCAATGATTCATGATAAATGCTTTAAGCATTACGGAAAAGCTAATGAAAAGTAAACGTAAACCGGAATAATGGCACAGACATTTTGTATTAAATTTCCTTTTTTCATCCATTTTTTTTTTCCTTCTTTTCAATCCACAAATGTATATTACATACATTTATGAGATTACATAACCCATTTTATCGGACATTGGGTACTTAACAATTTCCTTCCCGCGATTTAACCGCGATAATAGCTAAAATACATTCATCCCAAAAAGAACAAAAAGAAAAAAAAACTATTTCAATCTTTCTATGGTATGTTGTTATGTTTTATTAATTTTAAAAATTTAATTTTAAATCCTTTCTAAAAACTTATTAAAAAAAAAAGGAAGCAATCAATAAGTATGAAATAAAACATTTTTATGTTTTAATGAAAAAAAAAAAAACAATAAGATAAAATAAAAATTTATTTATCTAAAATAATGAAATATTTTATTTTTAAAATTAAATTTTTCTTTTCTAGCTTTTATTTGATTTTTATTAGTTTTCTAGTTTTCTTTTCTTTTTTTTTTATTTTCTTTTATTTTAATTTCATTCATTTTTTGATTTTAATTATTGGATTATTTAATGAACGAATAAGACATTTTGATTGTGAATGGATAACTGATAAGTTACACACACACACACATTAATTACTTATTTAATTGGATTTCATCTTTTCTTTGACATAGCTTTGACAATTTGTTATTTACAACAAATAACACAATCGATAAGAATATCTTAAGGCAAATATTTTAAGGCCTATACTTTGGAATAAAATATTAGAAAAATATGATGAATGTTATAAAATCTAATCGAATACTTCAAATTTTATAAAACCTTTTTTTTTTTCTTTTTACGGAGTTAAATTTTATTAATTTTACTGATTTGATAATATAAATTTTTGAACATTTTGACCTTTTTGACCTTTTTAACATTTTGATCTTTTTAATATCTCACTTGTTATACTATCATTAGAATGCTATCATAAAATGATTTGATAAATTTATAAGTCATTTAATACTTTTTCATAATTGAAACTACTTTTTTAATGATCTGAAAAGATCATTTGTTTTTTTTTTAAATTGATAAGTTTAATTTGAAAATTAACAATTAATCATTAGAGTATTTTTTTTTTTGATTCTAATTTTATTGCCAAATTAACCAATTGAAAAAAAAAGTAAAAAATAGATGTGACAAATTCTTGATCTCTTTATTTCATCCTTAATATATTAATTGAAAATATTAGCAGATATTTTGAGAGCTTATTAATTTTTGATTTTCTCTGATCTTTTCATTTCATACATTTTTCAATTTTCGAAATGCAAAAAAAATTTTTTTTTTCCAATTGTTTTACTCATTAATTATCTTACCTGTTTGCTTATATCACAAAGATAATTTCAGGCTTCTCCAAATCAATCGTCGACTTCTTCCGCTTTAGAGTCCTCTCAACTTCGTCATCATCACCACCATCACCATCACCAACAACAACAACAACAATCACAACAACAACAACAACAACAACCTACTCGTCCACTTACTGCTAATGAGATAAAAGCAGCTAAGATACGTGAAGCGTTAGAAAAAATGCGTGAAGCAGATATTAAAAAAATTTACGTAAAATTTTTCATCGATGATGGCTCATCAACTATTTCATTATTAATCGATGAAAGGTGGACAGTTGCTGAATGTATCCGTCGAATTGCAACAAAATTAAATGTTCCATTAAGCGAACACCATGCTATTGTCGAAGAGTATCCCGAGCTTTACATCAGTAACTTTTACTTTTACTTATTCTTTTCATATATTTACTTATTAACTTTAATTGTCTCTCAATTTACGCATAATGAATTGTCCGAGTTCTCCGAGACGAGAGTATGACTTCATAATTTACTTTATATTCATTCCATAATGAGCGTAATTTAATTATTATTATTCTCTTTTTTTTTTTTTTGAATTAATGAATATTGCATATTTCATTGTTAAAATTAAATCATTTACTAGCAAATAAAATAAAATTAATTCAAATATGATTAGATGAAATATAATTAAATGTTAAAAGTAATTTGGTATTAGTTAATGTGTGGATTTAAGTATAAGTTAGATTACTACAAAATTTATTTCTCTTATTTATTGCTTATTTTAATTTTTTTAAAAAAAATGTAAATAAGGAATAGACATTAAAGATAATTATAAGTTAGATTAGTACAAAAATCACTTATTCATTGCTTACTTTAATACTTTGAAAGAATGTAAATGAAAAATAAACAAATTTTAATAGTTGTTTACTTTTCCTTGTATATTCCTTGTTGTACCACACAATTTCAATGCTATAATACTTTGTTTATATTATTTTAGAACGAATCTATGAGGATCATGAATATTTAGTGGAAAATATTATGATGTGGACATTAAATTCTCAAAATAAACTATATTTTACTCGACGTTTGGATAAATATTCATTTCTGGATCGACCGGAAGAATTTCTGGTAACTGAGAAAAACATTGATACATTGGTACATGGACCACCGTCACCGAATACAAAAAGACATGTAATTAGGGTAAGTTTCTATTTTTAAATTACGGAAATATTTCATTTAATTTGGGAATTTTTTTTTTTTAACGAAAAGAGAAACGTTTGAAGTATGAATATAATAAAATAGTAGATAAAATGAATAAAAAAAATCACTTTCCCATACATTATGGTAATTGAAAATAATCTTTAAGGAATAATTTAATTTTTTTTTTTTTTTTAAAAATACATTAATCAGAACAAATGTGATATGATAGCATATAAAAAAAAATATTTAAAACATATTTTTATATCAATTTGTCTTCTTAATTTCTCAGTGAAATAGTCTAACGATCATTTTAGAAATGATATTTGTCAAACAAAAATATCTCTTAGCAATTAAATTAAAAATATTTTTATTAATAATATTAAAAAACAGGCAAAAATAACAAATATTTAATAAAGCAAATAATTTTTCTCCCCTTCTCTTCTTAGTATCATAAAAAGAAGTATTAAAATTACAGTGGAAGTAATAAAAAATAGGAATGATAGAGGTAAAAGAAGCACAAATGATACTAATAAAAAAGGAAAATGAAATAGGAATTTAAACAAAGCCAATAAAAAAAGAAAATAAAATAGGAATTTAAATAAATAAACTAATTTGATTCATTGTGATAACGATAAATTGATTATTCTCACTAATAAACTTTATCTTTATTTTTTTGATTTTTTTTTAAAAATTCATTTGACGTAATTAAGTAGTACATGATGTCCTATTGATATTTTGCTTCTTAAGTATTTAGGTATTTATTTGTATTGCTAATTTGTTTTTGATGATAATTAGTTCAATCTTAAAATATTCCCAACGCTATTTATATTTAAATGTAGTAGTTAAATAATGTCAATTTTTTTTTTTTTTGTTGTTGTATTTTTAGTATTTAAATATAATAATAACTTGTTTTGAATATAGTAATAACTTGTTTTGTTAAAAATTACAATATTTATGGTAGAATTTTTTTTAGGAAAATAAAATTATATAATTTAATTTTTCTTTTTTTTTGAGGTATAGGTAAGGATTATAAATTGTGAAACCTGTGTAAAATTTTAGTTACAAATAAATTTTCTTGTATTTTTCGTGAACTGCAATTAGCAATCTTTAATTGTCCGCAATTATATTCAAATTTATTGCAGAGTATAAGTAAGTAAAAGTTACAAGTTAGGTAATCTGCTATCAATGATATATTTGCATAAGATATCACAATGTAGGTTATATTGCGGTTAATTAATATTAATGATTGTTTGATAGCAATGAAATATTATTCATAATTTCAATTCTAAAATTTAAACAAAAAAGAGAACATTTTGTTTACTCTCAAATGATTAAATTAACCGTATTGTTAAATAATAAAATTGATAAATGTTATTGCTAAGAAGATTAATTAATGAATGATTAATTTGATAATAATATTGCACAATTTATCATATCCAATATTTCAGGAATTTTTTGAAGGTGACAATGTACAACCACCAGAAACAGAAGGTTGGCTATTTCTAAAATCTGATGGCAAAAAATCATGGAAGAAACATTTCTTTGTGCTCCGTTTATCCGGTCTTTACTACTGTCCAAAGGGTAAAAGTCGTAACTCAAAGGATTTGCAATGTTTAATGAATATGCAAACTAATCAAATTTATACAGCCACTGACTGGAAGAAGAAATATAAGGCACCGTCCAGTTATGGTTTTGCGATCAAAGTATGCTAATATTTAAATTATTTCATGCATTTTTACAATTTTTAAATTTCAAATTTTAACATTTTTTTTAAAGCTGTTCAAAATGTAAAATTAATGTGATAATTTTATAAAAATTTTGAAAGAATGATTTTTCGATTTATCGAATGCAAAATGATTGAATTTTTAATTGTTTATTTTCATTTTGACACATTTCTTTAATCAAATTGCATATATGTTCGCTTTTTTTTTCTCTCTCTCTTTCGCTGGAATCAATTATAGTCATAATAAGATATTTTTGATTCACAAAAAGATATATGCGTTTATCTGTAATTAATTAAAAAATTTTTGATCTCATTTAAAAAATTAAATCATATTTATTATCAAATTAATGATATCGTTGGCCTTTCAGCATCCAAAAATTCAAGTGAAAGCATCAAAATATATCAAATATATTTGCACCGAAGATGCGTTAACATTTCACAAATGGATGGTTGCTTTGAGGATTGCAAAGGTTACTTACTTATCATTTTGATAGTATTACTTTCATTATATCTTATGTCACTCTCTCTCTCTCTCTCTCTCTCTCTCTTTATAATTCTTCTTTACAATCTTATGATTTTTTGAAGAAGATTTTTCATTTGTGTTTTGAAAAATAGATGTTAAAATGAATAATTTTGAAATGCATAAAAAGAAGAGATAAAAATGCAAAGTAATTTCATGACAGATTATTTGTTACTTTACAAATAAACAATTACTTATTGTATTTCGGACACAGTAAATTTCATAGCATTCAAATTCATAAAATTATCATATCACATATTTTTCATTTTTTTTAGAATGGTCAAAATCTATACGAGAATTATATAGAAATGAAAAAACAACAGCAAAAAGAATCAAATGGTGGTATAATTCAACCTGTAAAAGTTGGAATTCCTCAAATTTCACCTGTTGATTCAAATCGTATATCATTTGTCGAAATGCGAAAAAATAACATACGACAATGTCAAGAGCAAGATCCATCATCTTTGCTAAATTTAAATCGTGATTTACGAACTCCAATTACATCAAGATTATCAGTTGGAACAAGTAATGATGAAAATTCTTCATCTCATCAAAATAGTATCATTTTTGATCAGGTATGTATATTATTTTAAATATTTTACTAATTTTTTTTTTCTTATTTTTTTTAAAAAAAAAAATTTATTTAATTTTAAAATATTTTCAGTGTGATGATATTATAACGGGTACAATCAAAAGAGCACCATGCGATATAATGCTTAATAATAGACAATCAACGATGACTGATCACCGAAGTTCAAGCGATGGCATTGCTTCGCCAAGTGGTCGTAGTGGTGGTACCGCCGAGAGTGACAGCGATGAGGAGCAATTTCCGCCACTACCTCCAACTGTAGCTGCTACTATCTCTCACGGTGATAATTCTCATAATAGTAAGAATTTTAAATGTAAAATTTTTAATTGAATCATTAATGGCTCAATTTAATTTACTGACCAGAAATTTTTGTTATTTTATTTTTATAATGATAATATAATTTTTTGATAATAATGATAATGTAATTTTTTTTAGTGATAATATAATTTAATGATAATTCAATTTTTTTAAATTTTCATTTAATCATTTTAAATGATTAAATGAAATAAAATAATTAAATAGAAGATTTTGGGTTTTATTAGAAAATTTTTAAGAATATAAGTAATCTATTGCATATCATTGGTTTATATAATTTGATTATTTAGCTTTCTTTTTTTTTTTCTCTCTTTTTAGATGTAAATAGAAATGAAGTTGATAGTGCAATAGTAAAATCAACAACAAAAATTTGTTTACCCAAACAACAACAACAACAACAACAACAACAGCAACAGCCAAGTACTAGTCATATGATTGCTACCCGATATGGTAATGGAATTTCACCAACCTATGCTAATGGTAATTACGTATCAAACGTGAAATCAAACGTTATGGCACCAACACCACCAGCAAAACCACAATTTATTATGCAAAATGAACGAAATAGTAATCAAATAATTACAACTGAAGTATTTTTCTCTCTTTTTTTCTTTCTTTCTATTTATAAAAATAAATTAAAATTTTAAAATTAGAAAAAAAATATTTCTTTTAATTAGAAAAATTAGAAAAAAATATAAATTTGAAATTATTTCATATTGAAAGAATCAATAAATTATACTATTTATTTACAAATCGACCAATTTCTTGTACTATTAATCTTTTTTTTGCGCTTCTTTAAAGAGAAATTTTTTGGCGCATTTTTCCCTCTCTTACAAAAAAGAAAAAATTAAATCAATTAATCTTTTAAATATTTAATTAATTATTTGGAAAAGTTTTAAACTCTTTAATGCATAGAAATATTATAGTTCTGACTAAGCGATACTATATTATCAGTATTTATTGTTTCAGTATTTATTGTATCAGTATTTATTGTATCAGTATTTATAGAGCAATATAACATTAGCAAATAATAATCAACATCATCATCATCATCATCATCAATTTGGAATAAATCCCTCACAAATATCGCTAACATCACCATCAAAGAAAATACCACCGCCACCACCACCGAAACGTTCCGATACCACTAAACTTCAATCGGTATTTTATTTATCATTTTTAATTCAATCTTGGATTAATTCAATTTTGATAAATTTAAATTACTATTACTTTATGTTTTCCATTTGTAATTAAAATTTTCACTACTTGAACCTATAAAATAGCATTTCAAAATATGGATTAACATAACAGCTAAGGTTAATGAACTTTAAACTTTGGAAAATATTTGAAAGTTTTAAAAACTCATAATAAACTTCAAATTTGAGAAAATATTTTAAAAATTTCAAATTTCATTCATCTATCAGTAAAATATTGAACTAATGTTTCTTTTTTTCTTTTTTTTTTTTTAAATTTCCTATTAAGGGATTTTTTTACTAGAAAAATTAATTAGTTTTAGAATTATTTTTGGATGAATTTATTTATTTATTTTTTCAGATGAATACTGAAGCTTTACATTCAGAACTTGAAATAGCAATGGCAAGGAGATTACAAAAAATTGGACAACTTTAGTTTATTTATTTCTTTTTCAACAATACAATCAATTACTGTTGACATTATTGAATTTTAATTAACAATTTCAACAAATTTTTTTTTAATTTATTTTTCTGCACTACACAAACAGGTGGTAGTGATAGTTTATTTTGTTTTTATGTTATCATATCTAATCTTTTATTTATTTTTTTTTCCTTTTGTGTCATATGAATGAGAAAATGTCTTAAAGTTTCTTTAGTGAAATTTTTTTTTTCATAATGAACGATTAATTAGACAATGAATGGTAATAACTAAAGTTAATTCGTTAAACTTTTTTTTTCGCTATTTATAAATAATAAAACATTTAGCAAATATTTTTATAATTTTTATCAATTACTATAAATTTAACATAAAATTTTATTAAAATAGATAAAATAATTAAGGGCAGAAAAAATATTTTATGCTACACAAATAATACAATCTTATGATTTGAAAACTTTTTGACATTTTCACTTCTTTCTCAGTTATATCAAAATAATAACAATAATATTTTCTGTTTTCAACTTTTTTTTTTTTTACATTAATATACTGCTCATAATAAAATTTTTCAATATTTTTCAAATGTAATTTACCATTGCAAAAATTACAATAATAATGAATGAATGAATGAATAAATAAATAAATGGAAATTATGCCTCTATTATTTTCTAAGCAGTTTTTTTTTCCTTATCACTTATCATTTTATCATGAAATATCTCATTTACCCTTATCTAAGTGAATATTTCTAAATTTATACAAATAAAATGTCCACAAATACTGATGAAATGGTTTATGGCATGTAATAGTATCATTCTTCTTCAGTAACTTTGAATAGAAAAGGTATCTACCATATTAGGGGAAGGAAGGTAATTGGTACCTGCTATGAGGTAGCTTTTTTAGAATTACCGGTGTCTTTTTTTCTTTTTGTTTTCATATATATATTTTTTACTTGTTGATTTTGTACATATAAAATTTGAAATCTTTATATTATTGCCTATTCCAAATTAGAAATCTATATTTATATTCTGTTTTTTTTTGCAAATTATCCGTACTGTTTTTGTTGATTGAAAAGTAAAGCTTGAAAAATTTATTCGTACGCTGAAATTAACCTGAAATTAGTTAAATATTCCGGAATGTTCAAAAACTTTACTCCAAGATACTGTATCAATTATCCGTCTTTTTTTATCATTCAATTGCTTATTGATTTGTTTTTTTTTCTTTTTGTCACTAAAATTCATTAATAATTGTATCAGTTTTCTCTTCCATGAACTAAATAAAACAAATTTCATTGCTACGAATTTTATTTCAAAATCATAAAGGTTAAAGGTTATTGCATTATCGAATAAAAAATCTCTAAAGCTAGTAGTAACATTTATTTCGCTAATAAAGATTGCAATGTTTTAATAAAATGAATCTTATAATTGGCATTAAATATTTATTTCAAATAAATTTTAAATAGCAAATGAAAAATGTTGTTAATACTAATTAAGGAGTCAATTTAGATAGATTAATTAGCTAACAAATAAAAATAAAAAGACCAAATCTGTAAGAACCATAAATTCATTTCACATTATGTGAAACAAATAAAAAAAAAATATGAAATTTTTTTTTTTTAAATGGAAAAAAAAGAAAATTTCATATGTGAATAATTAAGGAAGATGGAAAATAAAAGAAAGAAGGAGGAATAATACTTTAATATGAAATGTAGCAAAAGCATTAATTAAAATAAATAGCAAATTGACATGGCAGAGGAACAAATACGATAAATTCTACATTGAAGCATAAGATGGTGACACTGTGACAGTTTAAATAAATATCTAAAATGAAAACTTTGTTGATTGTAATATACTTTGAATTATATTTTCATAAATTTATAGCAATCAAAAAAAAAAAAAAAAATTTTAGTTGTGGTAAATATTTAGTTGGCAATTTGTAAAATTTATCGCATAATGCTTTCCTAATTTAAAATTCAAAAATGTTTTCGTAAAATATGAATACAATGAATAAAATTCGTAAGAGTTATTATAAAAAGAGAAATAAATGATTTTCGTTTTTCTTGTTTTTTTTTTTGAACGAAATATTCAATTAAAAAAAAAACACTTTTTTACATTATTAAATTTGATTCAAAGAGTTAAAATTTTATTTTCGGATTCTAACAAAATGTTGAAAATATTAAAAGTTTGCATTTTAAATCATAAAAGAGAAGCTAAGACTATATAATAATATATGATAGAAAGAAATTGATCAAATTTAAGGATATATTTTAGAAATAATTTCACTTTATTTTATTTATTTTTTTTTTCTTATTTTTCAAATGATTTTTATAAGATATTACAAATGACAAAAAAATTGAAAATTAAATACAGTAAAATAAACTTTTTTTTTTTTGAGCTTATACATCTTTTTCCATTTATAAACTATAGCTATTTGAGCTAATAAAGAAAATTTTTCAAAAAAAAAAGGACAAAATTGGCACTGCAAAAAAAAATTTAAGAAAATACTGTACGAAAAAAAAAAGAAATAATAATGCAAATTGTTTCTTGAACTTTTAACGTCTACGATCCGTTTCTGTTTCACGTTTGTAACTACATTCTTGTGATTGCTCCCTGAAAAAAAATTTTGAAAGCAAATATTTTTGATTAAGAAAAATTAAACTGTTTAAGTTTAAGGAATAAACAAAACAGATAGAAATTAATATAAATTGAGAGATTTTTTTTTCACTTAAATATTAAATAATTTTAAGAAATAAACGAATAGCAAGAAATTTTTAAAATAATTTTGATACAATTAACTTTCTTAATTATTACTTTTCTGAATGTTCAATATTTAAGTATTAATTATTATTGCTGTATTTGCTTACTTATACTCAGTGGGATTTCCATCTTTATTGATGCGACGACCACTGCTACTCTTAACTTCTCGATCATAAGTCTCATAACCACCGGGTATTTGCTCATGACGATGATCACGCTCATACATATTACCACTATTATTGGACATATTTGGCAGTGGCATTAGCAGAGAATCACGAAATTCATTCTCCAATCGAGCCATATCTTCATTACGTCTAAATAAAACTCCCACGTTTACGTGAAGTGAAAAAGTCATTAAATTTTGTAAAACCGTAGAAATTAGACCTCAAAAAAGGAAAGAAATTATTAAATGAAAAATAGAAATTAAATTTCATTCATAAATGAAATTACTTAACTAACCGTCTGATCGATTGTGAAAAGCCACGTCCCTCATCCCAGTCTGCGTAACTTCGACTCTTCGTAATTGGCCTGTAGAAGTCATCGGATGGTGCTCTTGCACGATGTGGTGGCGGTATTGGTGCATCACGATCACGAGGTAACGTTGGTGGAAATTCAACAAACGGACCGCCACTTTGTTGACTACCACGACGATAGGATGATGAACGATGATAGTCACCGTCATAGTTGACAGCTGTACCCGAATCATATACATCACCTTTAAAATTAAAATTAAAATTAAATTGTTTCTTCATTGATTATTACTAACTTACTTTAACAACCAAATAATAATGTTTAATTAGTATCTGACCTAGTTTTAACTTCAATTTTAGAAGCGAAAATGACTGTTAATTAGTTTTTTTTTTGGGTACTAATTAAGATTTCGGATAATAATTAGCATAGAATTTCAAATGAAATAGAAAGTAACTAACGAGTCGAAAGACTTTTATGAATTCGTCCATTTCGATTTGATGAGCTATGATGTACTTCCCGAATATCACCGTTCGGATTATAACGTAATTCTCCACGTCTTAAACTATCGGATAATGACGAACCGTAACGTGCATTTGAAAAGCTTCCGTTTGTTATCAGACGTCCGTCATCATAATAACGCTGTAATATTTTCATAGAAGAAAAAAAAAAAACCATTAAATTTAATTTTAGTTGGGAAATTTTGCAAAATGAAAAATTCATTATTTTATTCAAGCATATCTCTCTTTCTTTCTTTCTCTTCCTCTCTCTCTCTTTCTCTCTTTCGTTATTTTTCCATGATAACAATTTTTAAATTATTTCAAATAAAGTATACTCCATCTTTTTCACGACGTGTCGTTACAGATCGCATATAACTTTCATGTGCAGGTAAATAACCATTTTGTCGTGATAATGAATTACTACGATAACCTAAAAATTGAAATTTTAATTATTTTATGAAATTTTTCAAATGAAACATTGATAATTTGGATTATCTGAAATTAGCAAGTTAAAATGTTCAATCAATAATTCACAATCTATATAATTCTATTCAAAAATTCAATTATCAAATTTTTTGTAAATTAATTCATTTTATAGATTAAAGAAGAAAAGAAAAAAAAAAACAATGTAATTAGTAATCATAAAAATATAACAAAATGTTTGATTTGAAGTACTGCAAGCATTTCAAATGAATTTGCTAAATTTATTTGATAAGAATGGATAAACTTGATAGACATATATTATAATTGAAATTCCAATTGCTGTGATATCAGTAATTCAATTAGATTTTTGATCTATTTTTTGTCATATATCAAGATTAACTGACTTTTGTTATCATGATCTTAATTAATACTTAATCTATTATTATCTAATTATACTTAGGTAAATATAACAAATAAAAATCCCAGAAAAATTTCAATAAATTTAAATATCTCAGAAAGTAATGATGACCTCCTATTATTAAGTGAAATAGGACAGATCGTATAATTTATACTACAGAATTGCATAAGAATTAAAATTAGAATTATAAATGATACGACACAAAAAAGCAACAATCATTTCAAAAATGTGCAATTAAAAATATTTATCTTACAGTGTATGAAGAAAGCCTTTACAATACTTTCTAGGCTAAAATTCAATTTAATATAACTAATTTATCTTAGCTAAATTTATCCTTTCACAATTAAGTTAACTTTACAACCATAAATTAATTTGCTTTCATTTTTACAAAATTCTACATTTCTAACAACTAATTCATATTTCAATGCAAGATTAAATATTTAAAAAAAAAAAAAAGAAAAAATTACTTTACCTTCATCACTATAACCATTATATGCATAAGTTTCACCTCTGCCACCGCGGTGCTGATGGTGATAACTTCGATGAGAGCTACGATTTTTCTTTTCTTTTTTCTCTTTCCGTTGCACTCGTCTTTCAATTTCTTCAATTCGTTTATGCTCTTCCACTCTTTGTATTGTTTCTGTTACTTTTGGCTTCTTAATTATTCACTTTTCAAATTGTTAACAATGATAAGAAAAAGGAATGGAAAATGAGAAAAAAAAATTTAAAAAGAGAAATTTAAAATTTAAAACTAAATTTATAATTGAAAGATTGTCATTAACCGCTGCAGCAATTCGTCGTTCATCCCACTGATCAGTTGTTCGAACTACCTGTCGTGGTTCCTCTGCATACATCATTTGATCCTTTGTTTCAAGTTCACGACGCTTCATAATACCTCGAGGCTTATCATCCTAAAATTGTTGAATATTATACTTAACTCTTAATTAAAATTAATCAAATTTAAATTTAAACTTTAACAAATGACAATAAAAAATTGCGGAAATTTCTGAAAACTTTTGCATCTTTTACAACAATGGAAATTATATACCTTAATAATTCCATAATATGACACTTTGATACATTTATATCAGATATCAAATATTTTGATAAAAATTTACCTCCATTTACTATCGTTGAATGAAGAATGATAAATTAATGATAGTTAGAGGGAACGAATTGAAGGAAAGTTTTTCAAATGTTAAATATCATGCTAACATGCATATGAAATGATTGAAAAATTGAAATACGAATAAAGAAAGCAATCTGAAAGTTTTAACTGCGAAATTAGATCACTTTTAATGAGTCTTATTTTGGTATTTTCCTGATAAATCATTTGTTATCACCTTATCTGTTATCATAAATGACCAGTATAATGTAACATCAGACATAACTATCATTTCCAATGACTAGGATATGATTTAGTAATTTTTAATGGAAATTTTATTAAACATATTTTGATAAAAAATATATTTAAAAGAAAAAGGAATAAAGAGGAAAATGTATTCTAAATTAAAGACTACAGTTGCAATTAGATCATTTAATGAGTCTTATTCTGGTATTTTCCTGATAAATCTTATCTTATCATTCATGATAAGCATGCGTTTAGTAAAAATAACTATGAATAAATTTGATGAAAATTCATCAAATTTAATCCAATTTTTACGAGCAATGACAATTTTTCTTAACGATCGGTGTTTGTTATAAGTTAATAAAAATGCAATAAAGTGGACGAAAAAAAAGAAAAAAATAAGGTGAATGGTATGAAAATGTATGACAAATTTAAGGAAAAGAGTTATTAAAAAGAATTGTTAAATGTTAAATTTTTGAATTATAATTTGAATACATTCAGATGTATCAAATGCTTCGTCTCATTATTCTTATTCAAATTAAATTTTTTAGAAAAAAAAGTAGTATGGATTTCACTGATTTGTGAAAGATTTGAAATGTATTAAGAAATTTCAATAAATTAGAAAATAATACAAAGTAACATTTCAACTGATTTCTTAATGATACAGAATTTTGATAAGTTTGGATTCAAGTTTTTCCGGATAAATTGCGCCTCTTGAATGTGCAAATGGAATGGGCGCAATAAGCCTAACTAATGCTTGCAAAAATAATACTATTCAAGATACCTTAATCTTAATCAATGTTCCACGTGTATCACTTTCCAGTGTTGGCAACGAAGCGTAACGTTCGATGTGTCTCTCGAAATTCTCGTTGAATTCACGCGTCATTGTGGATTGCGCTGAATCCGTTACGGGACCCAAACGTGACGGCATATAGGGCCAATGTTGTTTCTCACTCTAAATTTACTTACTTATCAGATCGCTGTTTTTTAAGAAAACTTTCTAAGGTATCAAAAATCAATTCAAAAATTACTCTTATTATCGATTAAACATTAAATTGGTTAAAAAATCGTCATGTATTTATTTTAAAAAAAAAGAATGAAAATAAATAAAAAAAGAAGTCCAAAAGAATTGAAATAATTTAATGCATCGGAATGCATTGTCAATTTCATAAATTTATTTAACAACCATAATTTTAGATTAAAAATTTTTGGAATATCATAAAAAAAAATTGAATTTAGTTAGAAAAAAATTTTTAATGTTCCCAAAATTTTCCTACAAAATTAACAACAAAAAAGAAAAAGAAATATCTTCAACAGAAAAAAAAAAAGGAAAATAACTTCTAGAAATTCATATAAATAAGAAAATTTCTAGAATAATCTTCGATCAACATTAATTAATAAAGACAAAATCATCTTATGATATAATTCCATAAGGAAAATAATTTCTATATAAAACAAGAATTCACTCTAAACTTCTGCTACTAATATGAAATAGAAACTCAAATGTGTACGAAACAATAATTTATATAAAAATTATTTTAGAAATTTGACCGATATCCAATTCTCTTATATTTCATGACTAAGACCTGCTGATAAGAAATAAACTCCTAATCAATGGAAATTGTAAATGAAGCAGTAAATTGATAATAACAGAGAGATGGAGAGAGAGAGAGAGAGAGAGAGAGAGAGAGGGAGACCGAATGTTTGAAATAATAATAAAACCTGTTTGAAATAATTTGGTATAGCTATTATTATTATTATTATTGCGTACACCTATAACCAATTTTAATTGTTAAAATTTAGTACCAAAATACTATCAGTTGCGCATTTTATATATATGTAAAGGCTTTAAACTTTCGATTTTTTGACTTTCTAATAGAATGAAATTAAGTTAATCTGTTATTTTGACTATATTTTGCTTTCTGTCACATAACTCATACTTTAATACTTTAAACACATCGATCACATAAGTCATACTTCATGAAAAATCTTTATACGATATATAAGTTAATATAAATTAACTATCACTAAATTTAGATTTAGAATCCGAGAGTTATCACTGAGTTCTCGAATGATATATGCATATAGTGATCGGGAATATCTCAATAATTTTAAAGCTACTAAATTATGATCAGTACTTTATAAGTGAAAGTGCTGTAAATACTGCTGTTATATGTAAAACAAATTTTATTGAAATTTATTTAGTCATTAATTTTTTTTTTAAAAGCTGATTTAAGTTTTAATCGTAATGTATTTGTAAAAGATAACTGCAAAAGTGAAATGAAGTAAAGGAGTGAAGTTAGACATTTAAATGTTTAAAATTAAAAAACTTTGCATCAATTTCAATTAGCATTTCATCATTATTTTTTAGTGCTTTTTCATTTTAATCTTCAAAAAAAAAAAATTTTTTTTGAAAAATTTGATAAATTGAAATGAATGCAAAATTTTAATTATTTTTATGAATTTTTTTTCTTTTCTTTCCTTTTATTTGAATCAAATTGAAGCAAACGAACAATTAAAAAAAAAAAAAAAAAAAATCACAGATGAAAAAAGAACGAATAAAATTTGTGCATTAAAAGTGAATTGGTGCTGTGATACTGATTTTCATTTTTTTTTCTGGGTTGTGTGTGTATCTTTTGAAAAATGTGCAAAAAAACGGTTAAAGCCACACAAACATTCAAATATGAATATTAAAGCTTCGGAATTCCGAAATTTGAACATTCCGGAATTCTACGAGATCAAAGCCTTGCCTTTTTTTTAATGCAAATTGGATATTCTTCAAATATTTTTGGAAAATTTTCCAAGTATTTCTTTTTTCTTCCTGCCCTGTTATTGAATTCAGGTCATTTCATTAGTTTTGAGATACTGGATGATAATCATCCAGCTGCTTAGAGAAATATATTTTGCCGAAATTTGCGGAAAAAAGCCAGACCTCAATGTGCGCAGTTTGTACGGCGGCATTGGAACGGGAAAGGGTACGCCATAAGCCTGGGGACAGATCGGTACGTACCTTGAGCAGGCCATCCTTGGCACCACCATTTACCGAAACAATGGAACGAGGTGAAAATGAATGGGATGAGAATTGCCAGGTAGCTGATGAAGCATCCTGAAAATTTTCTGAAAACGATACAACCGGTTTTATTCTAAAATATTTAAGGCATCGTTTGGATGGAGACTAGGCCAGAACTGTCCTTTTTTTAACATTTAAAAAAAGAAATGCCTAAAATGGATGAATTAGTATGATAATTCATTAATAATAAATCAAAAAATTAAATATTTGTTTCTGCAAAAAAAAAAAAAAATATTTGAGTAAAATTTCAAACAACAAATATATTAAATGGAAAAAAACAAATTAGTTATTAAAATATTAGGCAAAAATGAAATCGTTACTATTAATATTAGAAACACAGCAACAAATATAAAAAGAAAATGGATTAGAAAAAAGAAAAAAGAAAAGGAAAAGAAAAAAAGGAAATATTTTTATTTTTTTTTTCGTAGAAAATTTCATATTTATTGCTTAGGGAAGCATTTGAAATAAATTTATTTATTTCATTTTTCATCTCGTTTTTTTTTTTTTTTTTGTTTTGCTTTAATTAAAAGATTGTAAAAAAAATGTAAAATATTTTTTTTTTAATTTGTTTCCTTTCAACGAAGGAAACGTTTCCGTACCGTAACATAACCGGATCGATCCTGTTGTGGAATAGTTGAATTAACTGATGTATCATTTGAAATGCGTGATTCAAGCATATCACGTATTTGCTCCTGGAAGCATAAAAAGACAAATATATTAATTAATTCTACTTTTTTTTTCATTCTCGATAATTTTGCAAAAAAAAAAATCTATTAAAATAGATAAAAGAAAATGAAAAGTTAAAGGAAAAAAATGAAACAAATTTATTAAATTTGTTTTTTTTTTAAAAAAAGAACTTTTTTATTTGAAGAACAAAAAGTGAAAAGAAAAAGTATTCTCTGTATAAAATGAATAAAGATAAAAGAAATAAGAAGATAAAGTTTTTTTTTTTTTTTCAAAGAGTTGATTTGAGTGATAAGAAGTTTACAAGCGTAATTTGGTGCTAAATTGATAAATTATGATTATAATTTTATTATCAGTTAAATGAAATGAAATGAATTGAATTCATAATTTAAAGCACTACGAAATTTATCATTTGATTATGCTAAACAGATTAGAATTTAAAAGACAAAGAAATTAATCTAATAAGCAGGAAGTAAGTACTTTTTCAGAATTGAAATACTAAAATTGTAATTTATATGTGAAAAATAAAATGATTAAAGTTAGTGCTATACTTGATATTTCTTCCATTATAATAATGTATTGGAAAGGACAAAACTAATTTAATTATATCTGCAACTGATGCCAGACCTAAATAATTATAATTAAATTTAATATACGAAATAAAAAAAAAATTTTTTAAATTTAATAATATACTATTCTGTGCATGTTAATATTTACATTTATAAAAGCAATTTGTAATAATTTAACATATTGCTTATATAAACTTGTGCTCTTTTCAAATTTATAATTATCTCACCTGAATGCAATTAAAGACAGGTAAATTAATGTGTTAAAATGTATTTTCATTTTTTTTTTTTGTCATAGTAATTACCTATTTCATTTTCTTTTTTAATGTGAATTGAAATTGTTTGTAATTTCAATTATTTCCATGAAATAATTAGGCATTAAAAATTTTGCCAATGTTTAGTTTTAAAATTTTAGCTCAATAAGAAAACACAATTTAATCATAATTTATTGCAATTTTATGTAGGTTTAAATAGAATATCTTAATTAATTAATTAATTAATTAATTAATTAAATGATTATTGTTTATTCAAAATGTTCAATAATTAAAGATAAAAGTGATTAGCACAGAAAAAAAAAAGCGAACCTTAACAGCAGCTGGAACTGGTTCAGGTGCACTTTTAATAATTTCAGAATCAATAAGTTTGTAATCTGTTCGCCTTCCTCTCGATCGTTCCAAAAGTCTTTCATTCAACTGTGCTAATTGATCTAAGTCACTATTCTAAAGTAAAATACACTGTTATCATTAAATGTTTGTCATTTGAATTTAACAAATTTCACAATTATAAATTAATTATCATTTACTTAAGTCTTTGATAATTTCATTCTTTAATCTTTTCTTTTCTTTTCATCATTTTTTGCATTAATTATAATGCATAAATTATCATTGCTATTATATTTTTAAAAAAATTTTCAGTAAAAATTGAGCAATTTAAAAAAAAAAAGAGAGAAAGAGAGAGAGAGAGAAAGAAAGAAAATTTTAGCATTTATGAAAGAAAAAAAAAGAAAGAAAAGAAAGCACTAATAGAAGTTTCTAATTTAGTAAATTGTTGCTGTTAGTTGCAAAAAATTTTTTTTTAATTATTTATTAGTTTATTGCTTAAAGCGGAGACGTGATGACACGTGTTTCTAAATTGTTACAGTGATGCATATTACACGTCACACGTAAGTGACTATCAGATTATTTAAGCGAATAGAGGTGCTAGTGGTAGAAATTCCTTGAACTCTTCCTTTCGTTCTTTTTTTTTTCTTTTTAAATACTTTAAATTTTATTTTATGCATTCTAAATGAATTTTTGTTGAGTACTGATAGATTTGAAATTAACTTCAAATTACAAATTTAAAATTTATATTAGATAATAGAGAATGATGAGGAATGTAATAGAAAAAAAAAGAAAGAAAAATGGAGAATATAACTGGAAATTATTTTAACAAGAGATATATTAAATTTTATATGTTACATAATTAATAAATTATTATCTTTTTTTTGGAATACTAATTTAGATCTTTCGATTTTAACTAGATGAATATGAATTTCACAGGAAAAGTCACAATTCTTTGAAATTCGGACAACTGTAGCTCTAATTTCAATTCGTTCTAATTTTAAATTTTCATCGGAAATCGGCAAAATTTACAATTTGGCACAAAATTCTGTAATTATTTTAGAACTCAAATATTTTAAATAGTTTTTTGCTACTTTCAATCATAGCTATAAAATACACTATGCTATATTTTAATTAAAGAAATAAAAATTGAAATTTGAAATTTTAGAATGTTGAAAAATTTAGTTTTAAAAAACTAAAAGAAAGTCATTTTTACTTACGGTCAATTATCTTTAATTTAGAGAAATGGTTGATATTATCAGTAGCTCAAATAATATCATCGATTCCACTAATCAATCTCAAAAAAGTTTTCCCTAATAATTCGATTATTGTATTTTCTTCTCTTTTTAAGGTAATTATTGGTCTGTCAACAAATCATTCCAAAAAAAAAAAAAAGGAAAATCAGTGATAAATTTAATCAGTAATAAAAAAGAAAAACGCTTACATTTTTTGGTCCTCCACTGGCTGTCTGAAAAAATATAAAATTAAAATTGATGATAAAATGCAAAATTTACATCATTTTGAAAAAAAAAATGTCTAAAATTTTAAAATAAAAAATGGTAAAAGCTTATTGCTTATATTTATTAGATTATTCTGTTAAACATTTAAAATAAAAATAAACTAATTATCTCCAAGTGATATATAATTAAGTGATAATTCTTTTTACTATATAAATATATACATAACATCACTGATAAACATAAAACAGAAATCAGATGGAGCTGAGAATGTTTGCACAGAAGAAGTAAGACCTGAAATACTGAAATGATAGATAATTAATAAATTATAAAAAAAGAAGAAAAATAAAATCACTTAATTTTTGAAAAAAATATAAAAGTTTAAATGTTCATTGTGCATTTAAAAAGTAAATTGCAATTAAAATAAATAAAAATTAACAAAAAAGTAAATTAAAAATAAAATAAAATAAAGCAAAAATATCCATACCGTTTGCTTTGTTTTTTTTTTCGTCGTCCATCACTTTAATATTTGATAATAACGGAAATGATATGATAATATTTGATCATATCAAATTAATTATTATCACTGATGGAAAAATGATAAGGGAATAAGTTATTCATTTAGACAGAAAAAAGTAATATAAAATAATAAATGTAAGGAAATTTATTAACATTTATATATATTTCGAGAAAAAAAATGCAATAAAATAGTTGGAATTATTAATCAATCGATTAACAATGAAAATATATTTCGATGGAGAAGAAAAAAGGCAAAAATTAACATTTCAATATTAAAAAAAAAACTATTTAGAAAAGTAATACTACAATTAAATAATTGATCAATTGATTGATTTAATTATTAAATTCAACAGTTTCTAATTATTTTCCCTGAAAAGTGTTAAATTTCTTCTTAAAGTAATTAATTAACAAATAACTAGTTTAATCAATCAAAAATATTGTTTGTTTGTTTTTTTTTTTGTGTGAAAAAAATTCGTAGAATTGAGCAAAAAATAAAAGTAATGAATGAATTTATATATTTTTATAAAATTTATGTAAAAATTTCCGAAAAGATTTTACAAAAGTAAGTGAAAATGAAAAAAAAAAAGTTAAAATTTGGTTAATTTAGGGAAATTAAAATTTATCCAATACTTTTTGCTTTCTTTTATTTATTATTTTCTTTGTCTAATTCTTTCCAAATAGCATTGTTTATTCATTTTACAGAAATTATTACTATTTGCTTTGAATTTCTGTCTCTTTTTTTTTTTTTAATTTTAAATAATAATTTTTTATTTTGAATAATTAATAAAAATTAAATAATTATGAAAATTATCAATAAGTAAAATGGAAAGATAATGCTATATATTCATAAGTTTATAAGATTAGTTTCCTTTTTTTTTAAAAGAAAGAGTGAAACACAGAAATACAAAAATTTAATACTTTGTTTGAGTAAATAAAAAGTTAAAGTTAAATGTACATAATATTACAAGAAGATAAGAGAGAAAGCAGAGAATACAAAAGCATTTCAAAAAAAACATAAATGAAAATAATGTGACAATGAAAAACGAATCGGTTATGACATTGATACAGAAAGTAAAACTTACCATTCGATGAACAAATTGCAATTAAGGTGGAAATTTTTGCCTGAAAAAAAAAGACAAATTGTTGACGTACGTGTTATACTGTACGTGTTACCTTGGAGTTTAAAAAAATTTTTTAATTTTTTTAGTTTGAAATTTACAGAAATTCATACTAAGAAGTTAGAAAAAGTAATTTATTTTACTTAAACATAAATAATGACTACCACTGTGTATTAGTTGAGATTCGTGATGGTAGTCGTTGTACGTCGATCATTTGAGGATTACTTCGATCTGCGACACAATTTACAGGTATACGTGTTAGACGACGTGGAACAGCTTGTGATTTTGCTGATAATTGCTGCTGCTGCTGCTGATATGCAGTTGACGTACGATCAGAACGAAAAACAGGAATGCGATACTGATAATGACTGTGGTCTGAAGGATCACGTATAGGACGTGTTAATTTTTGTGATAACATCTCACGATTAAATTGATAACAGTTATCAGGATGATTGATTGAACATAATCGATTGGTTTGATTTACGTTGCAATGATCGATATGATGAGTTAATGAACCACCGGATGGAATTATTTTCCGTTCATTTCGTTGCTGCTAAATTTTGAAAATTTTTTCAATCAAATAATTTGTCAAAGAAAAAAAAAATTGTATTTCTCTTTTTTTTTTTCTTATTATAAATTCTGAAATATAAACAAATATACCTTATTTGTCTGATATGATCGATGATTATAATAATTATTATTATCATTGTGTGCTATAGTTGGCGAAAATTGTTGTTGTCGGTGTCGTTGTTGTCGTAAATACTGCAAGAAAAAATTTGGTAATATAATTGAATAAAGTTGATAAAAAATTTCATTAATTATACCAAATAATTGATATGATTAGATCTACTTCAATTTATCATAAATACTTTGCATTATTTCATTTCATACTATCTTTTAGAAATAAACAACGATGCATAATTTATCAAATTCTTTAATTAATTTTATTTACAGTACTGTTAAAATAGGCAAAAAAATGATTTCTATTATTCTAACTTTCATCCTATAATTAAAATATATGCAAAATCTTCCAAAGTTAACGTTTAATTGTTTAATTTATTGATGAAATGGCTGTCAATTAAAGACACACACACAAATAGAAAAGTTTATTTTTTAATTAATAAAATTTTCAATTGCTTATGCAATAACTATAGAAATCTTTCAAAATAAATGGACTTTTAAATCTAACAGAAATTTTTTGTATCAATGACAAAGATGGCATTTAAATTACTCTGCTAATTTTATTTTAATTTACATAATTAATAATTAGAAAAATGAAGGTAACTTAACTAACCTGCCGATTTCGGTTCATTTGTTCATTGTCTGATGACTGCAAGCCATCATCGATATTAGTTGCACGTGAACAACGTGTGTTACCTGTATTTGAACGTAAATGAACTGAAGGAGTTGTTAGTCTTAGCTTATTTTCAAATGCTGCAAGCTTTCCACGTACATTCACGTTACGAGGTATGTCACGTGACGTTATCGTGGATGTGTGTACTGGCAAATCGTAAATTTTCTCCCAATCAGCTATATCTGAAATTAGCATTTCATTTGTTTTTTATGATAGCATAGTTGGAAGATTTTAATTATAATTATTAAATGTTACTAATTAATATAATCCCACTGCTATAATGATATTTTATCATAATTAAGCTAACCATAGCATCGCGAAGATGGTAACTCTCCAAATCGATGAAATTTTCTGTGATGGATAATTTCCATTTCCTTATCCGGATCCGCATCAATTAATTCCGGTAAGCTTTGTGAGTGCTTCTTTTTCAGTACCTAAATTTTACTGGACTTGAAAATAATGAGAAATTAAATTTAATATGACTAAAATTTTGAAACAGGAAAAATAGAAAAAGCATATTATGATTTTTTGAGGAAATTCTCAAAATGACGTAAAGGTATTTTAGGAGAATATTTTATTTTAAAGTATTTGGAAGATATTAAATTTTTAGGGAAATATTTTTCCAACCTTAATAGCATTTGGTGCATGAGGATAGAAGCCACCAGATGGTGTAGCACGTGGACCACCGAATGCTGGTTTCGGTCTATGACTACCATCAGGTAACGGTTGAACAACATGCCTGATTTGACGTTTTGCAGATACATCTAATGGACCAGGACCTAAGTCAATTTTTTTTTTTTGAAGTCAAAAATTAAAATCAATAACTATGGTTTTAATCAAAACAATTGTTTGCAATTCAAAATTGAAAAATTTCGAAAACTTGAAATTTAATTATGTAATGTGAAATGTATTTTCACAATGATACTTACCATATCCTCGTAATGTATCAGGTAATGAATTTTCCGGACTGAAATTCTTACATTCCTTTTTGTATTCCGGATCATAGATAACTGGTTGCCATCGGAATTCATTTGTTCGACCTGTTGCATTATCTGTAGAAATTAATTGCAATAAGAACAAATTAAAGCACATATAAGGGAAAATATTAATTTTTTTTTTTGCTTCAATTAATCAATAATAATTTAATTAAAATATAAACAACGAAGTTAGCACTATGAAAAATTCACTCAAACAAAATGAAATAAAATTTCAATTTACTCAAAAAGAAAATATTACAGTTTGAAAGTTACCTGTAGAGTAGTTACTACTACTTTCAAGGCTTGGCTCAGCATTTAATGCTTTACCTACATATGGCCAAACATTAGATTGTTCCGGTGGTGGTTTCCATCGTTTCCCAGTTCGGAAAATCACCGGTTCAGGTCTTGGTTTTTCAATAAATACTTCACGGCGCTGAAACAATTTGAATTATTTTTATAATATCACAAGTGAGAATTATTTTTGTTACAAAAAAAAAAAAAAAACAGACCTATCATAATATGTGTTATCACAAATTGCGACATTAAATATTAGCAATATTGTAATCAATCAATCAATTAATAATAGAAAAATGATCTTAATATTATAAAATCAAATTAAACCAAAGAAATTTAATTTATTAGTCAATTTTTGTTTTCTTTGATAATTACCGCAAATTTAAAACAATACAATTAACTGGAATTAATAATATGCTAATTCTATAAAATAAATTACCTTTAATAAGTCAATATCGAATCGTTCTTTTTCAAGAAGTTGTTCACTGGTGATAATTTCATTTTTAGCAACTGGTTTTAATTGATCAACAACATACACTCGTTTCCAGGTTATCGAATTTGGAGAGCAGATAAGTTCACTTTGTGCGTCACCTTCAGATGTCGCCGTAATAGGACGCGTTTCATAAATATGCATCAATTGTGGTTCTATATTCTTCTAAATTAAACAAAATAGTAATTAAATTTAATTTTAAATAAAACAATTATTCATTGTTTTATTTTTTTAATTTCTATAAATTTACTCATTAATAATAATTAATAATTTTTAAATATAAATAATCAATCCATTCACACTAAAATAAGGTATTTATTTAAAAAAATCTCTAAATAAGTAAATGATAATTCTTCCAACATATCAATTTAATTACTACAAATTTATTCATTAGCAATAATTATTAATTTTTAAGTATAAATAATCAATCCGTTCATTATTATTTTCTTTTCTTTTCTTTTAAAAACTTTATAACAAAGTAAGAAGTAAAAATAACAAGGTAACAAGTAGTAAGAAAATGAAAAGTAAGAGAAAAAGAGCGTAAAAAAAACGAAGAAAATAAGTAAAAAATGAATTTCTTAAAAATAATAATGCGAATATTATTGTATGAAATTCTTATGTTTTGATTATTTCAAAAATTCGAAAATTTTAATCTCAAAAACAGGTGGCAGTAATGAAATATAAATTAGAAATAAACCTCAAAGTAAAATTCTTTTTGTCGTTTTTGAGCATTAATATCGATCTGTTGTAATTCTTCACGAGATTGTGTCATTGAGTCCTCTATTGCTGGACTAATTATTCTACTTCCTTTTGTTTGCATTTGTTGACAATACAAATGTTCTTGCTTTTCCAAAGCACGACACTTAAAATATTTCATTGTATTGTAGAGATTGTAATCATATCAGTGACTGATAAAGTAATATCAGTACATTTCGTGAAATGATTATCGTAAAATATAAAAATATTGATTAGATTGTAAGCCAATACCTGCTTCTCTCTGAATAAAATAGCCTTTTCCTCATTAAGTCTCATAGCTTCCAGTTCAAGTTGTTTTTGTCGATGGTACTCATTAATTCGATCCGGATCAGTAATATTTCTGGTTCTTAATGATGGTGGAACCGATCGAGCACGTTCATGTTTTTGTTTTGCTGGCTGTAGTGATGGAACAACAACACTTTCTTTAATTTCGTTATTCTGTAAATTATTTTAAAAAGCGTTGTCTCAATATTTCAACATAAAATGAAAAAAATTAAATTAGAAATTTTAATTCGATAATTAAATTTGCTTTATTCGTTTGAAATTTTAAACAGTTTGCAATTAATCAAAACCAATAATCAATTACTTTTTCAGGTTCCATTACATTCATTTCCATTACTGATACCGATTTTGATCGACTATCATAGCTAAATATTTTAAATTACAATTAATTAAGTCATCATTTGAATAAGTAAATAATCCCTTAATTTTTTTTTCTTTTATTAAATTACTCGCAGAAAAATGATTCATTAAATAAATAAGAAAATAAATGAAACCTTAATTTGTGGTTCGAATCATCGATAGAATTTTGTTGCTCTTTTCTGATTAAGTGATAATCAGTTTCAAAACGATATTCTTCAACAGGAATTTGTTGTTTTTCCAATGATTCACTGAAAATGAATTTTTTTTTTTTTATTTCTCTACTTCAATCGTTTCAACTACTTTGTCATGCATTTGTAAATTTTTATTTGAAACTTTTAAATATGTAAATAATTGAGAAATTTTCAAGTTCATATAAATTAAAATTATCAAATATCATAAAATAACACTAAATAATTGCTAATAAATTGTTGAGGAATAATTTTATTGTCGAGAAAAATAATAAATTATTGAGAAAAATAATAAATTGTTGAGGAATAATTTTATAAAATATAATCATAATGATAGCATTAGCAAATAATTTAGCACTTTTAGCATCAACAATTTTAATATAGTTAAAATTAAACCTTTGCTGCTTGATGTGAACTTCTTCGAGAGTAAAGAAAGGTCCATTAAACGAGGCTTGCGGAAGATGACGTGGTGTTTGAGGTCGTCGTAACAGTCTTTGTTGTCGCAGATTTTCCTGCATAATTTGATATAGCCTATTCTCGCGTTCAGTCAAATTTGAACTGAGATTGAAAGAATGAGAAGATTGACTCATTCGATCGGATATGTCACAGCATTGATCGTTGAATTGTTGTTTTTCTTTCTGAAGCAAAAAGATTACTTTGAATACTCTTAGTAATGTTTCATAGTATACTAAATTATAATTATAATTTTTTTTTTTTTAAAAGATAGCAAAAGATAAGTCATAAAATTTGGTTCACAATAATATTAATAAAATTAAAATTTATATTTCAAATGATATTTGTTCTAAGCTTGAAAGTATGAAATTTAAAAGCAAAAATAGTCTTAATTTTAAATTTAAAGATATAAATGATTTAATTTATACATTCAATAATTACCATTTCTGAAATTTCATTTAAAAACATAGAATTAAATATTTTTTTTTCTGTTATATTTTTCTAGAAGTTAGTTTGCTACTGATTGAAGCATCTTAAAGATGAATTAATTATTTATTCAATTTTTTTATATTTTGTTCAGTTTATAAAAAAAGAAATTTGAAAAACAAATTCTAAGAAAGATGTCACAGAATTGGATGATTGTGTGACATTTTTTTTTTAGCTAATGTAAACAAATTTAAATTTCCTCATCAAAAATAAGCTGATAATAACAAATTGTTTAAATTAAAGATAATAATAAAGGCAGAGTGATAATAAGTGTTTCCTGGAAATGTCCTAAAAATGTTATACCTTATCACTAGTGTCACTAATTTGAATCCTTTCAACATAACGCTCAGATGTATTATCACTGATATCACAGGTAGATGGTGATAACAGAGATTCTGCTACTTGTCGTTGTTTTAGGATAGATTTTGGTTGTTTACTGAAATCACTCGAATAATTCCGTGTAGATACAAACGGATCAGAATCAGAAGAATTTTCAAAATCGTTGTCCATTTTATAAACCTGAAATATTTCAAATTATTTGAGCAACAATAAGCACTTTAATGATTTGTAATATATATTTCATTAAATATCTCTTACAATTAATAATATTAAATTTTTTTTTTTTTAAATTAACACACAGATCTTCCAGGACAAAATAACGATAGAATTTGCTCATCTCAAAAGACATTACAATTCAGAAGTGAAATATTTATTAGCTTAACAATATTTTATCTTTTTTGACTGTTCAATATTCTTAATACTAATCAAATATTATTATTATCGCATTTTATTAATTCAAAAATTAATAATTCATAGTGATTAATTAAATAGTGATAAAATTTGATGCTTGAAAAAATCATTTAAATTTAAAAAATACTATTTTGCTTTTGCTATTATTGCGATGAGTTTCATTTTGATTTGTGCAAATGACTCGACGATGTGAATTTGGATTCGTAATTTGGACAGCAATTATTGATATCGTAGGTTTTTGAATTTTTTCAACAGAATGAGGGGTTTGATTTGCATTTATGTTTACATCGATGTTTTCTGATGGATGTAATGTCTGCAAAAAAAAAAAAATTTTAAATTTAAAAAAATTTTTGAAATATTCAAAATTAAAATAAGAAGAGAAAAATGATATTTATAAATGTTTACTTATAGTAATTTGATAAATAATTCCAGTCAAATGCTTACCTGTACTATAGAAGATTTGGAAGTATCTGCAGAACATGGTGTCACCATTTGTTCATGACAATACCGCCGAATATTTTCATTTGCTATGAGATGATCCACTACGACAGAATTGTTGCTACTTTCAAGTTCCAAATTCTGAAATTATCAAACTTAGTTAAATATTTTTTGAGTAACAAATCAAAAAGTGATTAGAAATCTTAAATAATTAATTTAAATCTTGGAAATTCAGTACTGACATAGGAATTTAAAAAATTATAGTAAATTATAATAACTTCAAATAATATAATAACAAATTTGGTAGCTCAAATTATAACTTTGCTAATTGTACTTATGACTATAATATAAATATTAATTTAACTTACATTTAATGACCATAAGTATGTGATTGAATAAAGGATTACAAGATTTTATCAGTAAATTTCATGAAATTTAATACCAAGAAAGTTCAACTTCAATTATTTCCTACAAAGCTCATTGTACTATTGTTTCTATTAATAAATGAATTATTATATCCCTTTATTATCCCAAATATTAATATCTAAATCCAGCTAATCTCCCTGAGATCAACAAACATCTTTCAAAACAATAAATAAAAATTTAAATCTTTCACGACCACAGATTCATAGTTAAGTTTAACTATATACTCTTTATAAAGACATAAATTATATTGTAAAAGTATTGTTTCAATGAATTTTATTGTCTATTAAGGCTAATCTAGCTTCAGAAAATAATTAAATTTATTTAATTTAAACTTAACTAAGCAATTTCAACTTAGTTTAACTTTAAATCTATTTATACAATTAGCAAGGAAGAAAAAAATCACAAAATTTATTCAGTATGAATTATATTTCATAGTAAATAAAATTCTTGTCTTCTAGAAAACAAGAAAAAAAAGAGAGGAAAAGATGAATTCTCGAGCAATCATTTACTCAAATTAACTTACTGCTTGATATAAGTAAATAAGCAAACTTGAATTGACTTAAATGCTCTTGAAAATGAAGAAAAATTTTGTTTTCAGTACACACTTTAAATAGAGTAATCATACTGACAAAATATGATACTTTCGGAATGTATCACAAAAATCTTTTCGTCTTTTTTTTCTTTGTTCAAATGGATGAAATATTATTGGAATACTTTTTATTATAATAAAAGCTGAAATTTTTAAAATGAAAGTGATAAATTGATAGAGCTTATCAGATTATAATCATAATAAATCAGCAAACAATCACTTAGTTCAACTATGTAAATATAACAATTTCAATGTCTAATATAGTGATAATATAGTGATTTGTAGAATACAATGATTTAATTAATTTAATTTAGTTGAAAAATGATAATAATTATTGAGAATTTGGTAGATATTTGAAGGATAGCTGATTAAAGAACCTGTTTCGGACATTTTCGAATATTTTGATCATAAAAATTGACGACAGCTTTCTGATTATGTTCCACAGAACTGCTACAACTACTACTATCGTTTTCTTCGATAGTAGCTTCTTTGATATCAGGTAAAGAGGTAAATGATCGTACAGGACGATTATGGTGACAGTCATCAGAATGTGAGCATGTCGTTGATGATAAGAAGGATTCACGTGAAATTTGCTGCTGTGACATTTGGGTGGAATAAAGTAATACAGAAAATTAAAAAATTGTGCTAAAGAATATTCGACATAGCCTAGAAATTCAAATTTGAAAAATTTTGATTACGATTTTAGGATGCATTATAGAGTTAAATTCGGTTATAGTGTTAAAGAAGAAATTATAATAATCTGTTGATATTTTATAAGAACAATTATTATTTTTAATGAAAAATTAATTATATCACTAATGGAAACTCTTTAATTTTCAAAACTGTTGACAAATAAGGTGACAAAGAAAGGAATAGATTAATTTAATGAACAGATAATAGTAGATCGTATCAAACTGAAATTTCATTTGTAACATTCGTTTCTTCGTTAGATTAATAGTAACAGATAGAATCAAAATATCATCGAAATTTCGTTGATTATTTCAGGTATTTTAGATGAAAAAGAAGCGCTAATTAAAGGATGTCCGTCATCATCATTAACATCGTCACTATGATCATTATCAGCCATTATCATCATCATTATCATCGTTACTATGATCATTATCAGCCATTATCATCATCATTATCATCGTTACTATGATCATTATCAGCCATTATCATCATCATTATCATCGTTACTATGATCATTATCAGCCATTATCATCATCATTATCATCGTTACTATGATCATTATCAGCCATTATCATCATCATTATCATCGTTACTATGATCATTATCAGCCATTATCATCATCATTATCATCGTTACTATGATCATTATCAGCCATTATCATCATCATTATCATCGTTACTATGATCATTATCAGCCATTATCATCCTCATTATCATCGTCACTAGCATCATTATCAGCCATTATCATCATCATCATCATTATCATCGTCACTAGCATCATTATCAGCCATTATCATCATCATTATCATCGTCACTAGCATCATTATCAGCCATTATCATCATCATCATCATTATCATCGTCACTATCATCATTATCAGCCATTATCATCATCATCATCATTATCATCGTCACTATCATCATTATCAGCCATTATCATCATCATCATTATCATCGTCACTAGCATCATTATCAGCCATTATCATCATCATCATCACCAGCCATCATCATCATTCGCAGCAAAGTGACAGTAACATACAGACACATACATACGCAGACAAACACACACACATAAAATGGGTTAGCCAACTAAGCTAACACCTTGAAAAAACACAAATTCATACATTTACTCACCTACAAGATATATGTAAACTTACTAACACACAAACATACATACATACAAGCATTTGTCGGATAAATGACATACGACAGACACATAAGCATTTTGTAGGCGAACAGGCTAATAGTTCGTTCGATTTCATTCGATTTTTTCTTTTTTTTCTCGATAAGCTTACCACTAAAATATTTAGAGCTGTCATCAGAGAGGTACTTTAGCAAACAAAAATTTCGAGCGGAACAGAAATATTAGCAAAAGATTCAATAAAATAAAAAAATGAAAATAGGAAAGGAAAAAGAAATGAGCAAAATTTTTTTTTTTTTTTTTTTTGGGCAATTCAAACGAATAGAAGACGACAATTGACAAAAGAATAGCTTAAAGTGACAGACAGGTACAGTTTAATTTTAGTTGCAAATATAATAAGTCAATAGAATTCATCTTAAATTCATTTTGTACATTTTAATTTCTTCTTTAAATATTTGAAAGTTAATGCATTTCAAAAATTCAAATATATTAATGGTATAAATTAAAGATAAACATAAAACATCATATAAACCTATGATTTCAAGAAATTTTTACAAAATTAAAACGCCAAAAAAAAGTTAGCAAAAACGAAAGTGAAATTATTAATACTTAGTTCTTTATTAAAATTTTATTTATCGTTTTCTGATCTATCGCTCATTAAGTGAATAATTTATAGAAAATTTTAATAAAAAAATTATTAATGTTAAAGATTGAAGGTTAATTCATTGCTAAATAATATTTTCTAGCTGAATCGAAAATAAAATTGTATTCTTTTTCTTGTCGAGAAAAAATAAATAATTTTTTTTTTGCTTTACTTTTGATAGATATCTTAGTAAAACTAAAGTATGATGAAGTGAAGGTGAATAATATTATCATTTGAAATTATCATGAAATAATCGAACTTTTAGGGATTTTTTCTGAGATTTAGTTAATTTAGTCATCAAATTATTCAGTCCAAAAAAAAAAGAAACAGGTCGACGACAGTTGAAAAAAAAAAGGAAGTAGGCAGTCTTTTTTTTTTTTTGGTTAGAACTTCCATAAATTAATTTAATTTCGGTAATAGTATGCCGACAATATACTCATACTTTTTTATTGAGAGAAGATTGAAACGAGAAAATTAAGTATGCATTGATAAGATTTTGATAAGAATATATAGTTAAGAAATTTTAATAATTGATAAGATATTCATGAAATTATTAAAATTTGACTAATTCGTACAATAATAAAGAAATGATTGAATTTTACGGGAATTTTTTTAAACAGATCAAACTTATTAAATTTATTTTGATCCATGAAATCAAAACATAGCAATCATAGATTAAGCATAATAACTTGAATTAGTCAATAAATTATCACACATAAAATTAATCAAATCGTTTGATCAGTCTTTCTTTTATTATTTTCGTTAAAATTTCATTTCCTAAATAATTTTAATAGCATGCTAAGATGTAAATATTTGCACAGAATGCTTACTTCTACACTTCTCATATATTTTCCATTTATCATTGTTTAAAAAGAAAAAAAAACTTGAAGTGTTTATGTCAACAAATTTCAGATAAACTTAATCCTTGAAAGTTAGTTGTAAATCATATCTTTTTTTTATAACCTATCATTTATAAACTTTTTATACTTCCAAAAAAATCCCTGAATAAATCAGTAATTGAATACTACTAAAATTTATGAATCAGTAATTGAATGCTACTAAAAACACAATTGAATTTATTTCTGGAAGCTTTTTAAATATATTCTCGTATGCAAGTGCTAAAATTATTGATTAAATAATCAAATAAAAATAAAATAATTTTGATATAATAAATATTTAACGCATGAAATTAATAATCTTGTAAAAAATTAATTAATTTTCTCTCAGTCAACGTAATCAATCATTAAAAAAATTAAAGAAAAATTATAAAAAATTAAAATTTTTTTGGCGAAAGAAAAAATGAAAACATACATAATTATTCCTTATTCCTTCCATCGCGAAGAAATGTCCAAGAAAATAGCACTTTTATAAATTATCACTTCATTGTTAAGCAATCATATCATCAGGAATTGTAAGGCAATTCTCGATTTCCATTTCTGATTCCATCAAATTCTGATTGCATTCATCAGTGTCGCATAAAATGTCACATTTTCGGGTGACACTTGTTTGCTTATCTGTTTCTTACTCGTACTTCTCAGTGGTGCATTTTCTGTTTTCTTGGCTCTTACCAAGCCTTACAATCTCAGCTCCAACTTGATTAAACAAGCACAAAACAAATAAAAGGACAGTAATTATTGACATAACACAATACAAAGTTACAATAAGACTAGGCTAGATTAACATTCTTCAGTAATAAAAAAATTTTAAAACTTAAAAAACTTAAAATTCACAATGAAAGCAACAAATTCTCTTAATTTAATGAATTTTTTTTTTTTTTTTTAGAGATTAGAAAACATCTAAAAAAAAAATTTTCAAAAAAACAAAATCATTTATTTGTGAACAATTAATTGTAATTATTAGCCCATATCACACAAAATTATCATCATATGATTAAATTAATAAATTAAAATTATTAAATTAAGACAATCTATCAAGTCATTATCTATGAGGAACAATCGTATAAATATAGCCATTAAAAAGGACAATATTAGATCATTTTGATTAATTTAGTATAACTCAAAGAATATTTATCAAGAAATTTAAATTCAAAAAAAAAAAAAAAAAAGAAAAAAAGGGAAAAACCATACCTTCTGAAGAGTTTCGATAGTCTGAAATGAATGAATGAATGAAAAAAAAAAAAAGAATTTGTTGAGTTTTAAGTTGAAAATTGAGAAACTTTTCAAGTAATAAATGTTACAAATAAATAATTGATCAAATTATATGCAAATGCTAAGCATTGATCATCAAGGTCATCAGTCCTAAACTTTTCATTAAATCTACTTTCTTGTGTTGTCACATTGTCACATGGTAGTTTGTTTATTATTCCGCAATATATATTCAAATGTAAATTACTGCATCGTTTGACAAGGTCAAATGAAAATTGCTCATTTGAAATTTTTTCGTTTCTTAAAAATTTTCATTGCTTACTAAAAAGATAAAAATCAATATTTCATCTTTTTCTCTCTTTTTTCTTTTTGCAACATTATTCAACTTAATGCATAATAATTTAATAAAAATTTATGTAACTGAAAATTTGCAAAAAAAAAAAGCAATAACTTACTTTTTTGATTTCAGCAAGTTCTTTAAGTGATTGATCGTTTGAATTTGTAGCCTGAAATTAGTTTTTTTTTTCTTGATATTATAATTCATACAGTTTTCATCATTACTTTTAATTTATTCAAATAAACTTTTCGTATTGGATTATTTAAAATTAATAACAATAAAATACCTTTGGCCCAGGCCATTGAGGCTTATCCCATGGTTTATTAGCATCATTTTCACGTGCTTTCAAATAATCCTTTAGTCGAGATGTCTCCATGTCACGATGACGATCTAAGCTTTCAGTTAAATATGCACTGGTTGTAATTGGACGAGTTTCTGCAGCCTGAAATATTCGAATACTACATTTCAAAATTAGATTTATTTAAAAAAAAAAAAAAAAATTAAAGACGCATTTGAGAAGCACTTCTTACATATTAAAATTTGCAATCTGAATAAACATTCTTTCTTCTTTTTAAGCCAAAATTGCTCAAATTTTAATAAATTAAAAAATGTTTTCTTTTTGGAAGATATTATAGCAAAGATGCTAATAAAACACACAATCAAAATTAAAAAATTTTTAATTAATTATTTGAAACTTTTCTTAAATGGAGCAATTAGAAAAGTTAAAATTTGAAGTGATTTATAATAAATGCAACACTTTCATTCTTTAACAACAACAACCTTAATGAATGTTTTGAAAAATTCGTCATATTAATAATTCACATACCCGTAATTTCCTTTGTTGCATTGGTTCTAATTTTAGAAATGATCGTTTACTGTGTTCGCTTGGAAAATCCAAATTTCGTCGTTGAATTCGTGGAATTTCTCGATTATATGCTGGCATCGATGCGTTTGAGGTAACTTTTGGATCAATGATTTGTAATTTAAAATGATCTTGTGTTTCTTTCACCTAAATATTTACCTATAATTGTAATTGCAAAAAAAAAAATAATAAATCTAAATTTTAGAAATTGAAATTGATTTTCAGATCTTGAAATCTTCTAATGCAGAGTAAATTTACTTAAATTGCATTTGCTAAAACTAATAAATATTTCCCTTTTCTTTACTTTTAAATATTAAAATTTTGATTCTCTTAATTGTTGTATGAAAAATAGCCAAATTTCATTAAAAAAAAATGTACCTTATAATCGCCAACAGCTTCCGGTAAATTTAAATCTGAACCAAAATCCATTTTTTGTATCTGTAATATCATTTTTTTTTTTTGTAAAGTTTGCAATTTAATTTAAAAAAATTTGAAATTGATGAAATGTGACATTTTCATTGTAAAGAAAATTAAGAAAACAGATGGTCAAGAGGAAAAAAAATTAAAAAAAAGCGCACTTGTCTTTCACTAACACTTTTATAGTTGGGCGTTATAGACTGTATCACAGATTTTTGCGCTTCACCATGGATTATCGTTGGACGATCTTCCTGGAAAAAGCACTAGGTTTGAAAATGTCTGAATTTTAAATTATTTTAGATTTTAAATTAAAAAAATTATTTTCAAGAAAAAGTAAAATTTGATTTGAACTATTTGATAGCAAAATTTTCTATGTATCACGACTGCTGTCAGCATAATGACCTTTCAAGAGCTATTATCATTATCATTTACTGCTCAATTTGAGGAATTTAAAATCGATGAGCTACTGGTCAAACGGTCATTTCTAATCAACCAATATTCATTATAAGTGCTTAGTTTGCATAGATTCCACAAGCAATTAAATAATCGTTATATTTTCATAATTTTTTTTAAAAAATTGATGAGAATGAATACATTTTGAGCTATTGATCAACAAAATAAATGAATTATCATAAAATTTATTTCCAACATTTTATTAAATGAAATTGAATTATGAATTAGTGTTAAATGAGTAGTTATTGTTGAAATGCTTTTTGAATATAATTGTTAATTTTTAAAATCAAACTTTTATTTATTGTTGAAACTTAATATATCATATTTTAAGCCATTTGCTAGAATTTAAATATGCAAAATTTAGCTTAAAACTAGATTGAACATACAAAAACACGTAGACGTTCCATAAACATCGGTGAAAATCGCTGAATTTGAGGTTGTTCCAGCATTTCGTTTATAATATTTTATTATTTAATACTGGAAATGTTATCAGACTATTTATTTAAATTTTTCTATCACATAAAAGAAAAGACCGCAATAAATTGCCAAAAAAATAGTTTGTATTTTAGAACGACAAATTTCTCACAAATAAAGGAAATATTTAAGTAATTTAAACATTCATAGTATCACACATATTCAATTGGATCAATTTTTAAAGTTAAAAAAATATGGAAATGAAATTAAAATGGAACGATGAGAAATCCAATCCACTTGAAAAGAAAAGTAATTCTGAATGAATTCAAATTGCTATGCATAATTTAGCTAATGTGGACATTTTTGAAATGTTTATGAGGCAATACTATATGTAAATCAAAGATTATTTCAATGATATAAACGATTGATCGAAGATCACTGGACGAACACCAAAAGAACCAACCGAATATTATTTATTTTTAAAAAATGTGAAACTAATTGAATTGATTGATAAGTGAATGCTATATAATTTTTTAAGACATTAATTTTGATCTAAAATTATAATTTATAATTTTAGATAGGAATAGAGGACGTTTCTTTTAACAATAAATATATCTTTGAAGCTACTAATCAAAGAGATATGTGTAGTTTCAAAAATATACCAAATTTTTAAGGTCATTAAGCATTTAGAAAATTTATTAAAAAAAAAAAGTTAAATTTTAGTTGATAATATGATTTTTTATAACTTTTTCTTCCATTTCTTTATCGGTTAATCATTCCTTCTCTTTCAGTTAATTTAATTTAATCCAAGTAAGAAAGAAAAACTTTCGCTTTTATTTATTATAGAATGTTAAAAGGATATCAACAATTAATCACTCAAAACTTTGCTATCATTTTATAGGCAAAAAGTAAATGTTAGTTAATTTTGAAGTAAATTTCATTTCACTAATCTGAAATTCTGATCTTCTTCAGTTATTATTATTATTGTTATTACTGTTATTATCATTATTGTTATTACTATTATTATTGCTATTATTATTACCACTATTATTAACCATTTGATATTAGTATTATTATTACTATTATTAATTATTATTAACTGCTATTATTTATTATTATAAATTGCTATTAATTATTTCATCTATTATTGCATAATTATATTATTATGTATTTTTTATTTTTTAGTTATTATTAGTGCTATTAATAATTATTATGCAATAAAAACAAAAATAATGAATTGAATTTATTAGTGGAAAAGATGAAAATGAAATATGAGTTTTATAGTTTAATAGAAATAGTATTTGATAAATTTGTTTGAAATATTACACCAATTTCTCTTATGCGCAAATGGAAAATGAAAAGGGAAATTAATTTCGAAGGTATCTTTCATTCTTCTAAATTTGTTAAAATTAAAGTGCAATTTTTTAAAATAAAGTAAACGCCTATTTTTGTAAAAAGAAATTTGAAAAATTTTCAAGTAATTTAATTATTCATTTGAGCAACGTATTTTCATTTCACTAACTTACTTTGCTCATTTATCAATACTTTCTCATTATGAAGCAATTTTTTTCCTTTTTTCTTTTCTAAAATGTAATTATGAATGTAAGTAAATCAGAAATAAACAAATGTAATGAAGCATTTCAATTTATTGAATTTAAAAGAAAAAAGTTTTAAAAAATGATATATTAAAGATTAAAACGATAATCATTTAATAAACAAATTTCAAAACATCATTTTATTCAATTCGCCATAATCTGTATTGCATATAATAGTGAAATATTTAAAATGAAATGAATAGATCAAGACTTAATTGTATTTTTGTTGATCGTCGAGAATTGAATGAATGACATAATTGATTCAAAATCTTATTTCAACGATTAAAATTCATTTGTAATTGGGTAGTTATCAGGGAAGCAGTTACTGAGAAGTTCAATGATTGTAAACAAATTTTAAAAATAAACAACTCTACAAATTATAAAATGATAAACAAGCGAAAATTATGATAAATTATGTATGAGAGAAATCAGCTAAATTTTCATAATCAAAATTTTGTTAATACTATCAATATGATTCATCTAATCTCTTTTTTCATTTTTCCGCCTTTCCACATTAATTTGACCCAAATTAATTTGAATGAATTATAAACTATGCAACATTTTTCATAAATTTTCAAACTTTTCTCTGTTATCATTTTCAAAATTAAATCAAATTTTAAATTTTGATTTAATATGAATAAAAGATTATCAAATAAAACTGTTCAGTTTTATTTTTTTATTATATTATCAAATGAAAGAGGAAAATTAATAAAATGAATAATTAATTATCACAAAAGTAATAAAATGAATTTGTTCAAGATTTCAATAACAGATAAATATTGCTATATGATAGTATAAATTATTAAAAGTTAAATTAATGATATTAATGTAAATTGATTTAAAAAAAAAGTATTCAAATGGTTGATCGAAATTTAACAAAGATTTATAGTTTTAGAAATTTACTATTAATCCATTTACATATATATATTACTAAATTTAATTGATAACAAAGATAAGAAGAAAGTATAAGCAAAATTTTTAAAATTAAATTAATATATTGTAAATTATTTAAAAAATATATGAGAAACAATTGATGAATATAAAAAAAAATATAGAATTTTTTATCCTAATTCTTTTTTTTTTTTGATTTTTCATATTATATTTCTCAATTTTCTTTTATTCTACTAAAAATATATTTTTAGTAGAAAATTACAAAAATGACCGAATTTTTCATCCAATTTTCCTTGCAATTTTCTAGAATTGTTGCATGAAATAATCTCAGTTTTTTTCTTTCTTTTTTTTTATAGATTTAATAATCTTTTTGCAAATAATCTTTTTTTTTTTTATTTCAATTTTTTTTTCTTGCAAAATTTGAAGTGCACAATGCACAGATTGAAATAGTCCAAAATTATATTTAAAATTTTTTTCCTTTCTGGAAAAGCTAAAAAAAAATGAAAATTAATTTTGGATAGCATTCCAGTTTCTCATTAAGGTATCACATAAATAGGAATACAAATAAAAATCTCGTTTAACATATTATTATTTTTTATAAATTATTTGGTATACTTCTAACCGGATGAAAAAACTGGTATTATCTTTCCTTGAAAATTTATGGATGAAAGACAAAAAAAAAAAAAGCAAGCATTTAAATAATGATGAAAAGTTAGTATAATTTAAATTAAATTTGACTAAATTTTTGTAACAATTTTTAAAGAAATAAAAATTTTTTATCAATTTTAATTATTAAAAATTTTAAAATATAGAAAATTGATAGGGATGAAATGAACGATAAGAAAAGGTAACAAAGTACAATGTCGAAATGTGTAATGGTAATGGAGCGGAAAAGATAGAAAAATTCAAAAATATTCTTAGCAAATCATTCATCTTTTCATTTCATTCTGTAAAAGCTTCTAAGATCGCTAATTGTGATACTTTTGTAATTTTTAATTATTTTGTGAAAATATCAATTAATAAATTTAATGAATTAAGTAAGAATAAGAGTGAGAAGAAGAGAAATTAATACATTAAAAATTTTTAAATTGAAATAAATTGATAAGCAAGCTTATAATAGTTAAAAAAAAAGCTAAGTTAGCTTTAGCAAACTTTTGAAATGCTTATGTTATGGATTAATTTTAGATGAATATTTGATTTTGAATAAAATTATTTAATTCAAAATAATAAATTATGAATTGATAGAAAAAAAAATTGATAAAGTTAGTAATATTATATTAATTTCATGTTGATTATTTCATATTAAAATGTTTTAAATAACGATGAAAGTGGTAAATAAGAATGGAAATAATTTTGCTGAAGGGGAAAGCAAGAAGACATAACAAATAGAAAAACTGATGGACAAATCTTTCTTTCATCGTAATTTCAACAAGGAAATGTCATTTGCATTTTGTACTTCATTCATGTTTCATCTTTCTATTTTTGAATAAGAAAATTATATTTTCATTGTAAATCAAAAATTGTTGCATAGAAAATATTGGAATAAAATATATGATAAAATATTATTCGAATAAATATCCATCATTTTGCAATTGTTAGTAATTTAAAATTGAAAAATTAGCTGAATAATTGCCATAAGTGAAAATTATTGAATAGTATTAAAAGTTTTTGTGAAATTTTAAATCAAAAACTAATGATATAATAAGTAGTTTTATGATTTTATGTACAATCATTTGATAATTTAAGATTAATTTAAAGTTAAGTTAAGATAAGATTAATTAAAATAAATGAAATAAAAAAATTGTATGAAAAGTAAACTATTTTTAATGTAAATTAATATCAGAAATGACCGATATGATGGAATCGATGAGTGATAGATATTTATACTGAAAAAGATTCTTCCGCAATTGAATTTATTTAACAATTTGGCACCACCCTCTATTTCAATTCATTTAAATAAACCATCAAAATAGATTTTAATGTGATTTGATATAAACATTTTTTGCACTTTTTTTTTCTGTTTAAATTAAAACAAAAAAAAAAAAAAATCCTACACTGGAAAGTATAATTTCTATCAAAAATAAAGATAAAATAAAGAAGTAAGCTAAAATTGTAATAATTAAAAATTAGATTTAAAAAAACGATGTTAAAAGCTAATAAAGCATAGTATAGATATGATTAGAGAATAAAAATGAAACATTAATTGAAATATAAATAATCCAAAATGATTGAAGGTCAATTTAAAAATGATTAAAGTAAAAATTATACCTTTTAATAAAAGAAAAAAGGAAGAAAAGAGGAATGAGTTATGGGTAACAATGAAAAGAAAAAGTTCTCATCGTTGACAGTGACAAAATTTCCATTTGGTTGATTGCAAGGATTTACATTTACAGTTGAATGAACAGAAATTGGCTTTTTACAATTTTTCCTCTTACTATCATTTCAATCATTTTTTGAAATAATCGATATGCTTTTTGATGATATTTTCATAATTAAATAAATTTATTTTCTTTTTTAAATAAATATATCATTCGTTTTTCTACCATATT